TTGAGGGGGGGGGGGGGGGGGGAGGACAACAATGGCAAGGGACTCAAACCCAATCGGCCGCACGCGCGTCGGTTGGGACGACGAACCAACAACGACCAACAGCCGCCAGCAGCACCGCCAATAGACGCCTGGGTCACAGAGCCAGGGTCAAGCACGTAGGCAGGCGATAACACTCGTCAGCAGAGCCGGACAGACGAAGACGGCATTGGTGCGAGAGCAGCAGCCATGGCTACGGCGAGTGTAGACTCGTTGCTGAAAGAGTAGGTGGGCGGGAGGAGAGGGGGGAGAGGGGGGAAGGGGTGGGGGTGGGGTGGGGGGAACTCACAGGGGCTGTGTGGGGAATGGGGCTGTGTGGGGAATATAGGCTGGTGGTGGCAAGGAAGGAGGTAGAGGAGCTGGAGCGGCTGGTGGGGAAGGAGCCGGGAGGTGGTGGTGGTGGTGGTGCGGAGAAAGAGCTGCAGGTGGGGAGAAACAGGGTGACGACGTTGACGGCGGCGTTGGAGCGGCTGGGCGCAACGCGGGCGGAGATCGAAGCGACGGACGGCCCGAGTGCTCGGGATCGGTTGGAGCTGCTGACAGGCGAGTCATTTGTGCTGTACGGCTTGGCGCTGCACGACTACGCGCCTACCGATGATGGTGCGGTTGGGTTTCACCGCGACGATCTGCTGTGCATTTCGGTCCGGGGCGGCGAGGGCGAGTGGTGGATGGCCAAGGTCGGCTTGACCGGCCCACGAGGAGCCATTCCAGGCTCATATGTCGAGGTTGTGTCGCCGGAAGTAGCTCTGTCGGTTGCGCAGGCGAGCGCAGGCGAGGCCAAGGGCAAGACCAAGAGCAAGGGCAAGACCAAGGGCAAGACCAAGGGCAAGGGTAAGGACAAGACCAAAGGCAAGGGCAAGGCTGGTGCTGGCACGTACACAGTTGTTGCTGCCTACGACTTTGCGCCTGCTGCCGACCAGGCGACCGCCATCCCGCTGGTCAAGGGCAGGCGGTACATTGTGACCGACGGAGTCTCGTCCACCGAGTGGTTGTACGGGTACCCAGAGGACGGATCAGCAAGCAAGCAAGGCGACTTTCCGGCAGCGTTTGTGATCCGCGACGACGAGCCGACAATCGACGAGTCCGAGCCGGCGTATGGTGTTGTACAGGCCGACTACACGCCGGCGGCCGACGTGGAGAACGGCCTGCGGCTGCGCAAGGGCGAGTTTGTCGTCCTCACTGATGCTGCCGACAGCGGGTGGTGGCTTGGCTACGCTGACACCGACGCGAGCAAGACTGAAGGTGTCTTCCCGGCCAGCTTTGTCAAGAAGCTCTCGGCAGCCGACTACCAAACGCTGACCGACAACGCGCGCGCGTCGGTGGCGCCGGAGACCGTGCTCGCCGAGCTAGAGCCTGGAGAGAAGGCCGTGGCTCGGTACGACTACGCTCCTGATGCCTCGCTCGACTCGGCGCTGCCGCTGACCAAGGGCGACATCATCTTCCTCACCGACTTAACCGACGCCAAGTGGTGGGTCGGGGTCCGCCGGTCGGATCCGCACCTGCTCGAGGGTGCATTTCCAGCAAGCTATGTCAAGAAAATCTCCGACGATAAGTACGCCAAGCTCGTCTCGCGCGCTGAGCGCAAGAACGCATCGTCGATCAAGGGCAAGGACAAGGCCAAGGCCAAAGACAAGGCCAAGGCCAAGAACTCGCACGCGGCCGAGCCTGTGTCCAGCCCCGCGCCCACCGACATTCCTGCTGATGCTCCTGCCGAGGCCGACTTGCTGTCGGATGTGACCCATCTGGAGTCGAGCCTCGAAAAAGCTCTGGTCCAGTTTGACTACACGCCTGACGCGTCGATCAACGGCGGTATGCCGCTGGTCAAGGGTGAGCTCGTCCTCCTCACCGACGCCGGCAACAGTGACTGGTGGCTCGGCATTCGGCGGGCAGACCCTACTCTCGCCGAAGGCGTCTTTCCCGCAAACTACGTCAAGAAGATCACCGACGCAAAGTACCAGCGGGTGCTCAACCGCGGCTCGACCTCGCACTCGCAAAAGTCCAAGAAGAGCAAGAAGGTCAAGGCCAAGTCCAAGGCCAAGGCTGCAGTCGAGACGAGCAAGAGTGTTCAGTTTGCCGAGCATCCGCCGTCGGACAAGGCTCGTCGCAAGGTCAGGCGCCGCAAGCCGACGGCTTCAGGCCACCACAAGGCTGTCGACTCGATGGTGGCACCGCTCATGGAAAAGCGTCGCGGGTTTGTTGCCGAGCTGGCAGCAACAACAGACGAGGAAGAGAAAGACGACCTCCGGAGTCAGATTGCGGACATCACTGAGACGCTGCTGATGCTCGGAGTAACCAAGACCGACATGGACGCGCCTCCCCGGAGCTCACAGGTCGAGTACGAGTACGTGTACGAAGAGGACGAGCCGGTACCTCCGATGCAGCCCGAATCTGCACGCAGTGAGCCCAAGCCGCTGTCGGTAACGCCGAGCGTCGGCAAATCTGGTCCAAGTGGAGCCCAGCCGGCAGAGGCAGCGCCGAGCAAGTCTGGAGCGAGCGAGGCCAAAAAGAACGAAGTGCTCACGCTGTATCAGGTGTCCGACGACGATGATGATGAAGATGATGACGACGAGGCAATTGAGTCTGGTGCGCAAGCTGGAGGTGGAGTGACCTCGTCCGAGTCAGACGTAGACCTCTCGTCACCGGGTGCGCGCGCTGTGCTGGGTACACTTCTTAAGCGGGAGGAGGCGCTGCTGGAGACGCTCTCGCTGTTGCTGGACGAGGTGCAGCCGTACCTGATGCGAGCCGAGTTTATCTCGGCCGAGCACGCGGACGTCCTCTTCTTTGGCCTCGATCTGATCCGTGAGGAGCACGTCAAGTTTGTTGGACAGTTTGCTGGTGAGCGGCGGTCCGGGTCGGCGTCGGTGTCGGCGTATGCCAAGGCGTTTGCGGCACACATGGCTGACGCTGAGTACCGCAGCGAGGTCCTCGACCTGTACCTAGAGTTTTTCCAGCGGTCGGTTGTGCACGCCGGTGAGCATGCGGCTGCGCAGCCGGACATGGTGGTGGAGCTGGCCGAGCACGGGGTTGCGCCGCGCAACCGCGACGGCCGCGAGCTTTCGGGCCTCCTGTACCTGCCGTTCAAGCACTACGCTGGATACGCAATGTCGTTTGAGCGGCTGCTCGCCGAGACGCCTGCGTCGTCGCAAGACTACGCGCCAGTCTCGCAGGCACTAGATGCGGCGCGGCTGTTGGCTGCGACGATTGCCGGGCTCAAGACCAAGCCGCGCGGCTCGCAGCTTGTCTTTGCGCTGCTCGACGTCCAGATCTCGCTTCAGTTTGCGCCTATCACACTGCTTGCACAACCGAGACGGCGGCTCTTGGCTCGCGGGCCCTCAGCGGTGTTGACGACCGGCATGGAAGTGGACAAGGGCGAGTTCTTGCTCTTCAACGACCTACTGGTGTGGTCGTCGATGGTGCCGTCGACCCGATACGCCGGCCACTGCTCGGTGGTAGGCGCAACGGCGGCGCGGCTGGGCGACGGTGATACCCACGGCCGGTTCCGGCACGGCGTAGGAATTTCCGGCGGCGAAGCGTCGCTGGCCCTCAAGGTCTACTGCCGGTCGGATGCGCAGGCCAACGAGTTGGTCTCAGCTGTCAACTACTCGGTGGTCAAGCCCGGATGGGAGCGCGGCCCACCGGACTTTGACATCATTTGTCCCGAAAAGTACGACATTGCTGGCGAGCGCAAGAGCAAGAAGAAGAAGAAGAAGGGCAAGAAAGGCAAGAATAGCAAGAAGTCGGCGTCTAGAAAGGAAGCTCAGCCGACAAAGGATGCGGCCGAGCCTCAACCGGTGCCCGTGGCGGCGGAGCCTCAACCGGTGCCCGTGGCGGCCGAGCCTCAGCCGGTGCCCGTGGCGACCGAGCCTCAGCCGGTGCCCGTGGCGGCCGAGCCTCAACCGGTGCCCGTGGCGACCGAGGAGCCCAAAGCCAAGGCCAAGGCCAAGGACTCGTTCAAACCGCGGATCATCCAGCCAATGTCGATCATCATGGAGGAATCCGGTGACGAGTTTGACGAGACGGATGTCGTTCGGCCATCCGCACCTAAAACGCCGAGCTGCTCGCGATCGCGATCGCGCTCGCGCTCGCGCTCGCGGTCACGATCGCGATCGCGGTCGGGAAGGAAGCTCTCGTTGTCGAGCGCGGAGCGGTTTGGGCTCGAAGCGCACATACACGACGACGCTGTGTCGGGCGAGCTTTCGTCATGTGGAACAGACCCAAACATGGACTCGTTTGTGGCGCCGCGAACGATTGCGGACCGGGTCTCCGGTCGCGAGACGCCGATCAAGGCGATCAAGAGCCCGTCGGTGACGCGTGAGCAGTCGCTCGGCTCGCGACTCTCGCGCATGCTCTCGATCAAGCCGGACTCGATCGAGGTGGAGCGAGCGGGAGCAAGCGCAAACGCGGCACCGTACTCGCCGGTTATTGCCACGCCGCCGTCGTCGCCCGAGGCTGACCATGGTGGGTTTGCCATTGCGGTCAGCCGCGAGCAAGCCGCTTCCGACGAGCAATCGCGCGGACGTTCAGGCTCGCGGTCGCGGTCTCGGTCGGCGAGCGTGTCGGCCACACGCTCGATGTCCCGCGAGTCGCGGGCACCGGTCATGGTTGTGGGCGAGGACGGCCGAACGTACTACAAGCACACTCGAGTCAAAACTAAGACCAAGACGGTGCGGCGCAAGCGGCCGAAGCGGCGGCACTCAAAGAAGGACGCCGAGACAGCGTCGCCGCTGCCGTCGGCGTCGATGACTCAGGAAGACGAAATTGCCGACAGCGGCGTGCGGACTGTTGCGTCGCTGGCAGAACAGTCAGATTCAGGCTCGCGGATCATGTCTCGGCGGTTTGAGGACCTCATGTCGACTATCATCGACTCGGACGCAAGCTCTGATGAGGACGTTGCCGATGGTTCTCTGCTGTTTGAAGGAGAGGCGAAGAAGCTGTTTGTGGATCCGGTCGACGAGGCGTACCGTGGCCTCGGCTCCGGTATGCACCAAGTGGCGCGGGCGCTGGAGGTCTTTGCCGTCTTTGATCTCCCGCTCCTCGACCGAGGCAAGAAGATGGTCGAGCGGGTGTCTGCCGCGCTTGATGCCACCCAGCTCGTGGTCAACGCACAGCTCGGGCTCGGCGGCGACAAGCCTGGGCCTGACCCGTCTCCCGACACCGACGCCGGTGTGGGGAGGTCAAGGGTCTTGCCGGGGCACTGGAGGCTGTGGATGCGTTTGCGGTGCTGTGGACCAAGGCCGTGGCCTCGTTTGTGACGCTTGGCGAGGCGCTGGTGGCCGGGAACCCGTCGCTGACCACTTCGCTGATGGGGTCGGACGAGAGCCTGGAGGAGATGAATCCGAACGTCGAGGTGGGTGAGACGCTCAAAGCCCTCCTTGCCTCGTACTACGATCTGGTTTATGCTGGCTATGGGCCAGAGAGCAGCGACGAGGCGCGGTGGGGGGTGAGGGACGAGCACGTGCGAGTGGTGCGGGAGCTCGAAGCCACCGCAGGCCGGCTTGTGGTCCGTGCGATTGCACAGATGGTGTACGCACCGGGCGCGATTCGCAAGTTTACACCGCACTCCCTGCACACTGTCGGCCTCGACGCGTTTGAGGCGCTCCACACTGCTATTGAGAGCTACGATGCGGCCGATGGTGACTATGCGGGCGATGGCGACGACGTGGCGAGCAAGTCGGTTGAAGAAGGCCGCAGTGATGACGATAGAGTGCAGTCTGAGCAGGACTCACTGCCCAACGTCGGGCGCGAGCTGGCGGAGGAAGAGGCAGCAGAGCAGGCAGCGCGCGAAACGAGCATGTTACCGCCCGAAGTGGGCACCTCCCTTGCGGCGATGCGGGCGCGGATTGCGTCGCTGGTTCCGCATGTGGCGACAGGCGGAAGTGTGGCAGACGCCTACGGCTTCCTTGTCTCTGCAGGCGTCATGCTGACAACCAAGTACCACGACTTGTTGGTCCATCCGGCGTTCTTTGCCGACTCAAACTCGTTCGTGGCGCGGCTCGGGGCGGTGCTACGGCTGCTCGCAGCTGCGTTCAAGAGCATGGCGTACGCCGGAGGCGAGCCGCGGGCGGCGATGGCGGCCGGGACGGAGCTGGCGAACCAGCTCAACTCGTTTGTGGGCCTCTCGTTTGGCATTGTCAACCACCTTGCGATGGATCCGCGGCTTCGTGCCGAGTCAAAGGAGCGGGTACGCGCACTCGCGGACGCTGCGGTGTGGCTGGTGGCGTCATGTGCGCGGTACGCAGCGAACCCGATGTCGAAGCTGGTGGCACTAGAGCACTCGACGGTGGTCGTGCAGATGGCGGAGCTGACGCGACTGGCAGCGCTGGACATGGTGGAGCGTGTGGTGCAGCTCGCGGCGCTGGAGCGGCCGCCGTCGCCGCCGCTGCTGCTGAACATGTCAGGCGAGGCGTCGGCAGCGCGGCGTGCGTTTGACCGCGACCGGTACGCGGCCCTTCTCGCGGCGCACGCGTCACCGTCACCGTCGCCGGTGCGCGAGCCTGCTAGTGGGGGCGGGTACAGTCGGTTTGGCGGGACGCCCGAAGTGGAGCGGCCGGTCCGACTGGCGGTGGGCGACTCGCTGCGGCTGGAGCGAGTTTCCGAGTCGCCGCACCCTGGGCTCGATCTCAAGCCGGACGGCACGCTCGTGGAGCATGTGCGAGCCGACGAGCTACACGGAGAAGCTGTGCAAGCGCCGGCGACCAACCTGCTTTCGCGGTTTGTGTCGCCAGCTCGCGAGACGACGCCCAGCGGAGACCGCTGGGCTGTCTCGCCGTCGCAGCAGCGAGCTGTTGCAGCAGACGAGCCACCGATGCACGCTGCGGTGGCGGCTCCCTTGTCTGAGCTTGATGCTGAGGCCGATGCCAAGGCTGAGGCCAAGGCCGAGGCATATGCACCGTTTGTGGCGGGCGACGTGTCGGAGGTCGAGGTGTACGACTCATTTGGCGGAGTGGAAGCAAGCACTGGGGCAACACCTCAGTTTGTGGCACGAGAGGAGCTGCGGCCGTTCTCTGTGGTGGGCACGGTGTTCCGCGACGCAGACTTGCTGTTTCCGCACTTTGTGCAGGTGGGAGCGGCGTTTCGGCGGCTGGAGGAGCAGCGGCTTGTGACGAGCCGAGTGCTTGTGGAGCATGTGCGCGGAACGTGGAACGGAGTGCGCGAGATGGTGCAGGACCTTGCGCCCGGATCGCCGTCGGTGGGCAAGATCACAGTGCATTACCTTGCGCTTCGAGTGGCTGTCAACAAGTTGGTGCAGGCGACGACGAACGCGATCCGACGGTACAACAGCGAGCTGGAGGGCGCAATGCGCGGCGAGCCGTCGCCGCTGGGGCTGACGGCCGACATGCCGCCGCACTTTGCTGCGGCATCGCAAAGCGAGATCGACCGAACGTTTGACAACGTCAAATCTGCATGTCTGGCGCTCCTACGCGCGCCTCGTGACTCTGTAGCACGATCGCAGGTGTTCGAGGCGCTGGAGCCGCTCGGGGTGGCGCTCACGCCCCTGGAGTTTGACCTTGAGTTTGCACGCGCGCTCTCAGCGCGGTTGGAGGCGGGACAGCGCAAGGACTCATCTTGTGCGATAATGTAGAATTTGTTTGAAGGATGTGAGGTAATTAATTAGCTCGCTTGTTTGAGGAGTTGGAGGCATCGCGCTAGATGGTGGAGGACTCGAGCGCTAAGCCTTCTTCTTCTCGTCAAAGTTCATGGCTGGAGCCGCGGCGTCAAAGTCATCAAAGTCGCCGCCAGGCATCTCCATCGAGTCGTAGTCGGGGTTGTATGCAGGTGGCGGACCAGACAACGCCGGGGCGTTGTAGACCGGAAGATCGGCCGAGTATGACGACGAGTCTGAGAGCGAGTGGCCACCGTTGTACGACGGGTTGCGAGCCAGAGCAACGGCACCAGTGTTGCCCAAGTTCTGCTCGCCATCGAGGGCGTCGAGTTCAACGTCCTTCTCGTTATCAAAATCGTCGATGGAGGCTGGCGAGCCGTTTGCGTTGGAGGCTTGCGATAGCGCAAGGAATCGCTTCTGGCCGAGAATCATGAGGACAACGGCAAGAATGAAAAGGATGGAGCACGAGAGCTGCGACTTGCGGATATCACCAAAGCCGCCGACGAGATCGTTGCACACGACGCCGTTGATGGCGGAGAGGAGGTTGTTGAGAAAGTCGCACTCGAGGATGGGCTGAACGTCGCCGCGGAGGATGTTGCGGTAGATAATAACGTCGTTGACCGAGTTGTAGACGGTGTCTGCAACGGTCTTGTTGATGCCGTCAACGCACGGGTTCGACGACTGGGTGCACTGCAGAAGCGAGATAACGGCGCCAGGCGCGCCAACACGTTCCGAGTACAGCGTCGACTCCTGGTACGACGGAAGGGTGGCCTCTGAGCAGGGGACGGAGGGGAAGCCGGTGTTGTCGCAGTTGAGGCCTAGGTGGCAGATGCCACCGACTTCAGAGCCATCGGGAAGGGTGCGAGTCGGCTCTGTAAGGGCGGTGCAAGCGATGGAGACAGCGCGGTCGATTCCGTCGTTAATGACGGTAGCGAGAGCACGGAATGGGTTGCTGGTGTCGTTGGCGGAGCAATGGAAAACAGCCTCAAGAGGGTTGTTCTGCGTCCGGCGCTGAGCCGGAGGGGTGAAGAGAAAGTCGCGGGCCTCAAAACAGAGGTCCGAGAACAAGATCTCGATGAGCCAGTGCAGGCCGGTGGAGATCCAGAGAAAGAAAAGGGCAAAAAGGACGAACATGGCCGAGAAGATGTGGATCCAGCAGAAGCGCAGGTTACCGATGCCGAGGGTGAACGAGAGAAAGGCAAAGAGTGAGGGGAAGATGAAGCCGATGTTGATGGCGGCAAAGCGATAAGAGTTGACGGTGCCGACTTTGGTGTCGATGTCGCGGATGGTATCAATGACGTCGTTACCGGCGTCGACGGCCGACTGCAGGTTCTGGTCGGCGTTTGGCGGGGCGGTGGAGGCAGAGATAATGCGGCGCCGGATGTTGTCGATACGCTGGACAAGGTTCTCGCCTGTAGAAATGGCCACGCGAGTGAGACCCTTGATGCCGTCAGATGCCTTTTTGTTGCCGGCGTAGCCAAAGTAGAAGCCGAAGAGGACGCCAACGAGGCAGACGGCGAGGCCGATCTTGACGACAAGGATGGTGTTGCGGGTGTAGGTCGACTTGCCGGAGCAGCAGCAGGCACAGCATGTGCGGACAAGGAGAAAGACGGGGATGGCGAGGAGGCAGATGATGGCCATAAAGATGCACGGGACGACAAAGCCGGCGACGTAGAAGGCGTAGCCCTCGAGATCGCACTTGGAGTTCTCGTCGAGGCCACAGAACCGGTCACCGATGTAACCGTTCTTGATCCACACGTAGCGGCGGCCGTTCTTGGACGCCGCGAGAACGCGGCCGGCGAGCCGGACAACCGCGCCTGTCGGTCCGCCTGGCCCGTCCTCGGCAGCAGCAGCCCATGCGCCGACAGTCGCCGCCCCATGAGCCACGGCAACCGCCACCACCGAGAGGGCGAGCGCGAGTCCCACCACGACCAGGAGCGACGGCGGCGACGTCGGCGAGTGGCGGCGAGGAAGATGCATGTGCATGGGTTGAGGGAGGGGGGAGGGCGGGGGGGAGGAGGGGGGGGGGACGAGAGGGAGGAAGATGGTGTGGTTGGAAGGGGTTTGAGAAGGGTGTGACGAGAGCAGCGTGCGATTCAATGCGTGGTTGTTCGGTTTGGGAGAAGGTTTGGAGAAAAGCATCAAATTGGTTTGCCTGCCAAGCCACGAGCAGAGTTGCACATGGTTGGATTAGTGATGTGGAGGGAGGGGGGGGAGGGGACGAGGTTGTTCGGTTTTGGTGACCATGGAAAGGGGAGGACGGGCACGAGGGCCTGTCGTTTGTCTGCTTGTGTCTGCTTGTATCTACTTGTATCTACACTGCTGCTGCTTTGGTATCACGCATTGACTGCGGTTGCCGTGACCGTGTCGTGTCTTGCTACCGCCAGCGAGAGAAAGCACGGCGGGGAGCGGGATAGGCTGGGAGCGGGTGGTAGGCCGGCTCGCGATACTGGGTAGGGACGGGCGCGGGCGCGCTGTTGCCGACCGAGGGGCGGGCGCCGAGCCAGGGCGTGGCGTAGTAGGCCTGTGCAGCGCGGGAGGCGGCGCCGTAGGTAGATTGTGTGGTGGCCGGGGGAGGCGCGGAGGAGGCGGAAGATCTGGCGGCGGCGCGGGACGAGGCAGTCGGGACTTGGCGCGGGGCCGGCAGCGCACCATGAGCGCCGGGTAGGACGCGCGGGAGCGGGTTGCTCGTCAAGGGCGAGGGCCGCGATGATGAGCGCGAGCCCGGGGCGGAACCCTCGAGGGCCAGGGATGTCGACGTCGAGGAGGGCAGGCGGCGGCGGCGGCGGGCGCGGCTCGAGACCGAAGCGCGCGAAGCGTCCCAGGCGAGAGCAAACTCGCGCTCGTTTGACTTGATGTCGCGGCCGTCGAGAGTGGTGAGGGTTGGCGCCGCAACAATGAGGCTGCGGCGGTAGCGGAGCGGGCGGCCGAGGCGCGGGTTGCCACGCACATCGAGCAAGCCAATGACCGGCAGTTCTGCAGCAAGGTCCTGGACAGCATCGAGCGACGAGATGGCGTTGGATGAGATGTCGAGTGAGCGGAGGGCGGTGAGGACGGAGAGCGGCCGCGGGTCACGGATGTTGTTGCCCGAGATGTTGAGGACGCGGAGGCGCGGCGCGAGGTAGGCGAGGACCGAGGACGTGAGGGCAAACGGGCGCGGATCTGCGGTGGCCGGCACGCGCTGGTTCTGAATGTACAGCTCCTCCAGTGCAGTGCAGGCTTCAAGGCCCTTGAGCGAGGTGAGGGCGTTCGACGAGACGTGGAGCGTGGCAAGCGAGCGGAGCGCGGCGAGATCGTCGAGCGAGGACAGGGCGTTGTCCTGGACCGCCAGATGGGTGAGCCGCGGGCAAGCCGAGATGCCTGCGGTAGAGGTAAGGACATTGGAGAAGAGATGAACCACAAGTGCAGCACGGCAGAGCCCCAGGTTGGTCAGATCCGAGATGTTCCGCTCCTCCAGCGCCAGGTGGGTCAACCGCCCCAGGAACTGCTCTGTCGTCTCGCCCTTGTGCCTCCGTTGCGACCGCGAGGCGCCGAGCAGGACCTCAACCGACACCATGGTAGCCGACGAAGAGGGGTGTGAAGTGGAGGGAGGGGGGAAGGGGGGGAGTAGAGTGGGTGTTGGCGAGAGGGTTGGCGTGGTCGTTGGGCGGGGCGAGTGGCGCCGAGTCGGTCGGTCGGCTGTCGGGCGAGTGTCGATGGCGGGCATGGCTCGATTGGAGGAGAGGGGAGGGGAAGGAAGGAAGCAGCAGGTAGGGGAAAGCAACACTTTTCTTGGTCGAGGCCGAGGCAGAGCAGGTGGTGGGAGCAAGTGCTTGAGCGAGTACAAGTCGCTGGAGATGTTGCGAGTGACTGGCGCGCTGTGCGCTATGACTCGGGCGACGGCGATGACGATGGTGGGTGGAAGGACGGGTGCTGGCAAACTGCGGGCGCTGAGCTCGGGAGAGGTGGCCGGCGGGGCAGACGGCGATGGCGGTGGGGAGATCGTCCAAGTGTTCAGCAACCACGCGCCGCAGTTGGTGCAAGCGGCGTCGATTGGCTCGGTCTTCTTTGCCGGCTCGATGCTATTCACTGGCGCGACAGTGTACGAGTACTTTACGCTCGACGTGACTGGTGGGCTACTCGCGCCCGATTCGGTGCGGACGGTGATGGCGGGCGTGTTTGGCCTGGCCGGGATCGGTGGTGGGTACGCCGGGCGGACGTTTGTCAGCCGGTACGTGGCCGAGCTCGCGTTCAACGCGGCAACCGATGAGGTCATTGTGGGCACGCATGGCCTGATGGGCGCCTCGGCCCGCGGCGAACCTTTCCGCTCTCGCAGCTTGTCGTGGGCGTCCGCGAGTCTGCGGACGGCTCCGTCTCCAAGTGGCTCCCGATCAAGGCTGCCGGTGACAAGTCGTACTACGTCCTCGACATTGATCGCGGCACTGTGCGCGATGAGCGGCTTATGGAGCTGCTGCTTCAGGCCGACGATGGGCGGCGAGGATAAACAAAATGGGGCCTTTACTTATTATTTTACGGTACGGAATGGACAAAAGTCGTCCATCGCGCAAGCTGCGCTCCGCAGACGTCGCAACGTCCATCAATCGCGGTGTAAGAGTAGTACAATGTGTTGATGGCTGCTGTGGCCACTGGTGGGCCACAACAGAAAACAGTTGGCAATGCAGAGATGGACGCCGCACGCGGCGCAAAGGCCCGCGGCCGCCATCGCGTACCATGAAGCTTCCGGCAGGCGAGGCAGTCGCGTCGCAGAGCGGCTCGCTGGGGAAGGTGGTGATGACGAGCAGCCGCTGCAGAGGGACGCTTCCGCTAGCGCGACAGCGCGGAGCTGACGGCGTCGGCACTGGCGGCTAGGGGGTCGATGATGTCATAGAGAAAAGCCACGCGAGTTATGGCGTTGCATGACTTCAGGCGGGTGTCTACGTGTCGGCCGCCATCACGTGCGGGCGCGCCTCCCAAGCAGGCGTTGCGCAGCGTCGGCCGGTGACCTGGAAGTCAAGCATCATCGGGTTGTTCACTTTGAGACGCGCGTCAACGCGTCTGAACGACCGCACTGCTAAGGTTTAATACTTTAGAGTGATAGTTAGACCTTGCCACTGTTGTCGCCGCCGATGTCAGACGAGCCGTCGCGGACGTCCTTGGCGCAGGTGCCAAAGGTGAGGTGGATGGCGGCGGCGATGACCATCAGAATACCTGCAATGATGACCCCAATGTAGTTGAGCGAGAGCACGGCGTTGCCGCGGGCGCCGTCGGTGCCCTTGGCGTACTGGATAGCGATGACAAAGCAGAGGAAGGCGACGATGGCCTCGCAGAGGAAGGCGCCCAGCGTGGCAATCATACCATTGGTCGGTGCGGGCCCGCAGGAGTCCTCGGGAATGAAGAACAGAACTGCAAAGATGGCGGCAGGGACGAGTGCGATGATGGCAATGATGATCATGGCGAGCGCACCCTTGCCGGCCGACTCCCACTTGTCACAGAACGACTTGATGCTTGGTGGGCACTTGTCAAACGTGAACTCGCCCAGATTGGACTGCTTGAGCGACGCCTTTTGCAGGCCAATGTGGTCCTGTGGGCATGGCTCAGTGTCGGTAGCTGTGAGTAGAGGTGGGAGGAGGGAGGGAGGGCGTGGTGTGTGCGATTCCACTGCACGACTTTTTTTGGCGTTCCGTAACAGCAAGAAATCAATGCCAGCAACAGCAGAGCGACGGAACGGTGCGAAGAGGGGGGGTAGGCATGGGTCCTTGCTCCACGTACATTGTTGATGGAGAGCCAGAGAAGGCCAGACGTGCCCCAAACAAGGAGGCAGAAGGTGACAGCGAGCATGATCATGGCACACACATTGCAGCATGGCCAGCAGCAGGAGCGTTCACAGCAGCCCATTCAGCAAAGTTAAGGAGAGGTGTAGCAGCGTGCGAGGCTCGGCTGGGATATACCCAGAACCCAAATCAGATCGAATGCCACAGCGTGCGCATCAAGAGCAGCTCAAGAAGGTACCCTCGCCCGGCGCGTAGCCAGTCAGCTGTCTGTGGCTGTGGAGGTGAGCGTCTCCAAAGTGCGCCGCTTATGGATTGACAACCCAGGGCATGGCACCCAAGGCGTCCCTACGCATTGCTGCTGGCGAGATCAGGCTTATATAAGCTGCGTTCATCACGGCATGACAGACCATCCCGGCGTCCGGCGTCTCGAGGTGATTGGGCGTGGCGAGTAGCACCACAGGAGTCCACACAGCGGGCGGTCAGCGATGGTCGCTAGCGCAACACATGCACACCACGGTGCTTCAGCGCCATCGCCAACACAACGGAGCACACTTTGTGTGCCGAGCAATGGCGTTACCGCTGGACACGTCAGGCGAGGCTATCCCAGTCGAGTCTGCCGTGCTTCGATAGCAATCATCTGTGCCGTCATGGAACACTGACGACAGGCTGACTTTGGGTCGTCGCACGAGAGTCACGGCCACGGGGCAAGGGGAAAGACACTCGACGCAAGTCGCCTTGTCTTTACGGACCAACACACATCGGTAGGCAAAGAGTTTGCCACAGAGACCAAGGCGGTGTCGGAGCAGACTCCGCCAGTCGGTGTAGGTCACGTCAGTGTCGGTGCCGGGAGCAAGGAACAAGTCGAGGCCGGCGATCAAGGCAGGCGAGCAGGGAGGTCACACAGCATGTTGGCCGGCTTTACGGTCTCAGACTCATGCTCGGGCAATGGTGGCGATAGTAATGATGCCATTTATGCCAGGGCTGCAGTTGGTGTCGCTGCGACGGCCTTACCGGGCTTGCCGGGCCATGGAGGTGTGCCGTCGGACTCGATGTCCGACTCGAACGAGGCAGCCAATGCGAGCACAGGCGTCGCGGTGGCGCCAGTGGCCGAGGAGGCCGTGGCAGAGGCAGAGCGTGAAGCGGCCCGGCGCCAAAAGTTATGGGCAAGGCAGATGATGGTGCTTAGCTCGTCGAGCTCGTCGAGCTCGTCAAGCTCATCGACGACAACGACGTCGGGGTCACTGAGCTCAACTTCGTCGACCGCGAGCTCGTCGTCGACCACCGGGTCGCATTTGAGCGCAGAGGCGCGGCAGTGGCGAAATCGGCCGTGGCGGCGGCAGCAGCGGCAGCGAAGGCGGCGGCGAAGGCGAAGGCGAGTGCGGCGGGATGAGGCATCATCGCCGCCTCTGCGGGTGCGGGCGCTGAATCTTCCGATAGACGAGGCCGGCCGCCGGCCGCGCTACTTTTGCCACGGATGCCGACGGGCCGGCGTGAGAGTGACGCCCGACCTGGCGTGTACCTCGTGTGGCTCCGATTTTGTGGAGGAGCAAGCCGCCGTCGGAGGCGTGGACGGCGAGGCGATGCCGGCCTCGCTCCGCAACATGTTCTCGGTCATTCTCACCGGGCCAGGTGGATGGTCGTCTTCGGACGACAACGAGGAGGGAAACAACGAGAACGACGATGGGACTCCGGATCTTTCATCGATCTTTTCACAGCTTGTGCGGTCGCTGCTGGCGGATCTTGTGTCGAGCAACGAGCAGCTGGCCATGCAGTCCGGCGGGGTGCCGGGCGGGCGGAGCGGAAAGGCAACCAACCCCGAGGTTGTGGAGCAGCTGCCGATCATTGCGGCGAATAAGGCGGAGCAGGCCTCGCTCTGCCCAGTGTGCCAGGACGAGCTCAATCCGGAGGTTGGAAGTGGTGGCGGCCGGGCTGGTCCGTCGGACCCAGAGCTGGCCAAAGCCAATTGCGCCGACGGTGATGCCAGCGGAAGCCAGGCCACAGCGCCGCAGGCACGGAAGCGATCCAAGCTCCGAAACTTGTTGACCAAGTGGCGGACTGCACGGGCGCGGAGCAAGGCCGGACGGGCAAAGAAGGCGACCAAGGCCGAGGTGGTGGCGCGCCGCGAGGCGCGGACGGCCAACCCGTTTGACCCGGATGCGTACGCCGCGACCGACGTCTTTGTCCTGCCGTGCAGCCACCAGTTCCACGCCCAGTGCCTCATACCGTGGCTAGAGACTAACTCATCTTGCCCACTCTGCCGCGCCGACCTCAACACCAGGTAAACAGACCCCGACGTGAGTCACAGTCCCTCGCCCAGGGCGTCGCCCAGGGCGTCGCCCAGGGCGTCGCCAAAAAAAATGAGCGGTTGCATGAAGGCGCGGCGGAGCCAACGTTTTGCTGGGGGCGCGAGAGGCGGGCGAGAGAGGACGGGCCGGAGAGGGGAGGGGAGGGGAGGGGGAGGCAGGGGCGACCGGGGACAGGAGACGGAAGACAGCACACTTGACGGACACCCACGGGTGTTGCAGACGCAGGGAGAGCCAGCCGGTCGTAGAGCACGGCTAGTAGGTCGCTTGCGAACGAGGCAGGAGCCCCTTCCCAGGACCCCCCGTTGTTGCGGGTGGCGGCGGCGTGCGTTCCGGGGGCAAGCCGGCTCCGGGAACAGCAGCAAGGCGCAGGGGAGAGCGAGGAAAAGAGAGGAGGGACGGGCGGCAGGCAGAGGAGACGCGTGCAGGCGTAGGCATGTCGGGACGCGGACGGGTCGACTCGTCGGCGCTGGAGAAGCGGCTGGACGAGATGGAGGCCTCCATGGACGTCGAGTTTGAAAAGCTGCAGTCGCTTATCTCGCGCCAGAAGCGGCGTGGGTCGTCGGTGGACCTGGCAACGAGCACGGGCTCGGCGGGCTCGTCGCCGGCACTGGGCCTGGCGACACCTACTATCGACACAAACTTGTCCTCGCGGTCCATTTCGGGACTTTCGCCGGGCGCCGCCGACGTCGCAGGCTCGCCTGGGCGGCGTGTGGGGCGGTCGCCACGGTCGGGCAAGTTTCCGTCGGCGGCGTCGCCGCGGGCGTCGCCACGGTCGGCACGGTTCCCGCCGCTCTCGCGGCCAGCTCACTCGGCAGGCGACTTGCTCAGCCGCGACGGGCCGGAGCAAGGCGGTGGATCCGCCGAGTTTGTTGTGACGCCGGTCAAGGCGCAACGGCGGAACTCGTCATCGGGCTCGCTCGAGTTTTCTGATGACTCGGCCGACGGCGGCGAGTACGGGACCATGGTTCGTGCCCGCGGTGGGAGCGCAGGCCAGGCAGCCGAGGACGAGGAGTCGAGCTCGAGCGTGGAGACCGGGACCATGGTACCGAATCGCGCGGCCGCCGGAGGCGACGAGGCTGCAACCGACGAGGAGGTCAAGTACTATCACCAGCCCAAGCGGAAGAAGAAGCGAAAGGACGACCCTTCGCTGCCGCACCGGTACCGTGACGGGCGGCGCGGGTCATCGGCGTCGAGCCTCCGACCCAGCTCGGGCACCTCGAAGCGGCGGACAAGCTCGCGGTCGGCATCGCCGGCGGTGGCGGCGGCAGCAGCGGCGGCCGGCCTCAACGTAGTTGGCTATCCGCGATCGAGCTCGCCCGGTGGGAGCTCAGGCGGGGCCGGGTCAGACAGGGTCCGGCGTCACCGGCGGAGCTCGTCGCGGGCGCGGGCTAGCGAGGCGGGTGGCGGCGGGCGGACAGCGACGAACAGGCGGGCCGAGTCGACGGCAAACAAGCGGAACGGGGCGGACTCATCAGGCGACGGCGACGATGTGTCGACGCTGCGGCGGAAGCGGCGCCGGCGAAAGCGGCGGTACGAGGACCTGCGGGTGCTCTCGGTCGACCAGCTCTCGGCCCGGCTGGTGGTCCTGGAGGCGCGGCAGGCGGCGTCGATCAACAAGTGCAAAGCCAACTACTCGGCGCTGCGGCTTGTCATCTCACGAATGATCGAGATCCAGTCTGCGCCGTCACGGAGCAAGCCGAAGAGCTCAAGCCGGAGCTCGACGTCGCGCGACCGGGCGTCGCGGTCGTCACGCCGGCGCAAGGCCCCGTCGTCGTCGGCCTCGTCGTCGCCAGACTACGGGACCTCGGTCCGCCGACGGACAACAGGCGCCTCTGCCTCAGGCTCGGACGTCTCAGGCTCCGGCTCGGGCTCGGGCTACGACTACGGCACGGCGGTGATGCAAAAGCCAAAGGTCAAACCGTCGTCAGACGGCGGCAAGCGCGGAGGCAAAGCCAAGGCCAAGAGCACACAGCCCGAGACCGAGTTTGATGCCTGGTTTGCCCAGCAGCAGAAAAGGTAGCCGCCATCAACTGCGGCGGTCACAGCATTCGCTGCTGATTGTTGTTTACTCAGCGTCGGGCTTGGTAGCCTCCGCTTGGGCAAGCAGCTCACGGGCAGCCTCGCGCTGCGACGACTCGAGCGCAGCACGGGCGCGACGCTCACGCATGTGGGCCACAAACTTGCGACCGACGTTTTCATGGCCGTAAAACTTGAGGAGAAGGCGGACGTCGGCAACCTTGTCGGCGACGACGGCACGGAGGAAGGGGAGCAGGGCGCCGAGCTCATTGTCGCCCGGCGCACCTGTCCACGCCGGGACGAGCAGAACGTTGTCCGGGTGCGAGGCGACGCGGCTTGGATCAGCCTCAATGGAAATGACCCTGTGAAGCGGGCGGTTGATCCGCGTGAGGTCCTTGACCGGCGCCCCGTCGTCGTTACTCTTGCACGACGGCCGGTACAGCTTGTATGCAAACATCTTCTCAAACGGATCAATCGAGCTGAGGACCGGGCCCGAAACAATGAACGACTTGACCGACCAGACCACAACTTCGTAGAGCGACGAGACCTCGCGGAGGAACGCGTCCATGCCCGGCCGCTTGAGCGTCTGGAACCCGGTCCGTGCATCGTACTTGGTGTGGATGAGCACCTCGTCGAGGCCCACAATGAGCGTGTACGGCTTGTAGAACGGAGGCGGGAGCGGGTCTGGGAGCAGCGGCTTGTTCGACTCGCCGGCAATCGAGTTGTACATGTACTTGCAGTTGGCCACAAGCTTGGCTACCAGCCCGGCGTCCTTGCCCTCATACAGCGGATGGTCCTCGGGAATGTCAAAGGTCGAGAGGACGTACGTCGACGACCCGATCGAGAACAGGCCCAGCAGCGCGAGCGAGATCCGGGCCCCGGTCGAGAGCGGGTTCTGTAGCGGCATCGGTGCCGAGTAGTCAGTGTCGAACGGGTCGTACGGGTCCTTCTCGGGGCCCTTCCACCACGGCCGCTTCTTCTCGCCTGCCGCCGCCGCCGCCGCCTCGCCCTCGCCTGCCGCCGCCGCCGCCGCCTCGCCCTCGCCCGCAGCTGTTGCTCCAGCGGCCGCAGCAGTTGCAGCCTCGTTCTGACCGGCACCCGAGGTCTCCGCGCTTGGTGTCGGCTCCTTGGCCTCACCGCTGCTGCCGTCCTTGGCCGCCGCCGCCGCTGGCGTGGTACGGACGCCGCGTGCAACCATGTGCTCGGCGGCGCTCAGAGCCCGCGGTGCCGAGCACGACAGAGATGTTCCCACCCGCGAGTACAGAACGCGCAGCATGGCTTGCGAGTGTGTAGCGAGAGGTGTGTGCGAAGAGCACAGCGGGCGTGGTAGTCCAGGGCGCGTCATGGTTGATCGAGGTGTGATGTGGGCGGATCGTCAGTTTCCTGCTCGATTCGAGTCCACAGTGAGTGATACAGCGTTGATGAGCAGGAGAACTTGACTAGAGGCAAAGAAAGAGTGCAGAGTATGCACGTAGTAGGGGTGGGATGCAAGCGGAGAAGGGACGGAGGAGAACGAGGACGAAATGACGACAACGCAAGAAACTCATGTTATGGGTACACTTTGAAATATATATTTATATAAATTGGTATAATTATACATTTAGAATTAGAATTGAAAGGTATGGATTTGAAATTTGATTTCTAATCTATAGTATTATATTTTTATGTGAAAATGCAATGTGTTGAACGTTTTTACGTTCTTGAATATGCATGTGGTCTGGCGACCAGGTGAGCTCTCCCTGGCCTTGATCTGCCTCTTTACTCGCACACATGCATCTGTAACCAACCGCTCTATAGTACCATGCATCATCCATCTTCAGCAACATCGCAACTGGGTCAACAGCCTTTCACAACCTTCTACAGCTCTCACACAGCCCAAAGTCTTGTCCAAAAGGCCAAAAGGCAGCAAGCTCATCTGTGATCACACAACACACCGACACATCCTCGTCCAAACCCTACACATCTCTCTCACACCTGCTCTTGCACCTGCCGCTATCGACCGCCATGGCCAGCCACGAGAAGACAGTGGCAACACCATTGCTCGAGTTGAGTCCAGCGCGTGCGGCGAGCATGGGCAAGGCACAGAGTGTGGGCCTCCCGGAGCTCGCACCCGGTACGGCGTCGCCAGCGTCGGCGGTGTTCAACGTGGCCAACCTCACGCTCGGATCGGGCACGCTCTCACTGCCATTCGTGTTTGCGGCGACGGGCATCGGGCTTGGATGCGTGCTGCTCACGGTGTGTGCGATTGCGGCGGGGTTCTGCATACTGCTGCTGACGCATGCTGTAGAGGCGACATCGCGACCCTCGGCGGGAGGTGCGGCCGGGAGCGCGAGGATGGCGGCGTCGTACCAGGATCTGGCGCGCGAGTTCTTTGGGCGGCGGACGGCGATGGCGCTGGACGTGTTGATGACGGTCGACACGTGGTCGTCGATTCTGGCTTATTTGATTGTTATCGGCGACGTCATTCCGCCTGTCCTTCAGGCGTGGTTCGATGCCCCTGATGCGTGGCTCCTCCATCGGGCGACGGTGATGGCGGCAGTGGCCGGCGGCATCATCGTTCCGCTCTCCCTCTTGCGCTCGCTTGACGCGATGCGGTTTACCTCGGGCGCCGCCCTCCTCTGCATGCTGTACCTGGCGGGCGTCATTATTCACGCCGCCATTGCGTCTGGTTTTGACGACACTGCCGCGGGCAACGTCAACAACAAGGCAGATGTCCGGGCCGTGGCCTACGGCTGGCGGCTGGACGGCGCGTTCCTCTTTGTCTATCCCATCGTCACTTTTGCGTACACCTCACACATCCAGATGCCTGCTGCGTACGGCGAGCTTCGAGCTCGATCAGTGAGCCGACTCATGGGCGTGGTGTGGTCAGCCATTGGTATCTGCACCGTCTTTTATGCCACTGTTGGCATCTTTGCCTTTCTTACCTTTTACAACGGCGTCGACGGCAACGTCTTTAACAACTTTACCGACGAGGACGATGCGTTCATCGGGGCAGCTAAGCTCGCGCTCGGTCTCACGCTCGCCTTTTCGACGCCGCTGTTTGTGTATCCAACCCGTGAGCTCATTATCTCACTCGTATACCGGCGGCCCATGCCGTTTGCCTGGTTACGCCACAGCCTCGTCACCGCAGGCCTCATCAGCTTCACCCTTGTCATGGCCATCCTCATTCCGTCGGTCGAAGACGTGTTTGCGTTATCCGGGGCCACAACAGGCACGTGCTCGGTCTACATTCTGCCGACCCTCTTCTTTCTCCGTTCTGGCCATCTCGCGCCCAACACCGTCAACACCTCGCCGCTGTGGCGGGCCGGTGCATGGGGCTTGCTGGCCTTTGGCGCTGTCTCAGGGCTGGCAGCCACAGCCACGGTGTTGTTGGACATCACCGGCGCTGTCTCTGCCAAATGAATAGCGAAAAACGATTCTATCTGTTGCTCAAACCCCGTCGCTGCCCAGCACCGCGAGATCGGCCTCGATAGCCTGCCGCAGCGCGGCCTCCAGCAGCGCGGCCTCGTCGCCGGGCTCAATGCTCGCTGGCTCCCCGGCTTCACCATCGTCAGACTCGTAGTATTCGTACTCGCATTGAGACCAGCCGTGGTCGTCACCATCGACCTCGTCGCCGCCTTTCCCTCCTGCCCTGCTCCGTACCACCGCCCGTAGCAGTGCCAGCTCAGAGTCGCGGTCGTGCAGCAGCGCACGCATCCGCTCACCGTCGGCCTCGGCCTGGGCAGCAGCGCCCAGAGCCTCGCCATACCCATCCGCTACAGCCGCCTGTGTCTGCGCTGCTTCTACAAGCGCAGCTACCACGCCTTCCAGCTCGGCGAGCCGTGCCCACAGCGGCTGCTCGCGCGCTGCTACGGCCGCTGTCCGCGCCTCGGCCTCGGCAGCCCGCGCCTCGGCTTCGGCAGCCCGTGCCTCGGCTTCGGCAGCCCGTGCCTCGGCCTCGGCGGCCCGTGCCTCGGCCTCGGTAGCGCGTGTTTCGGCCGCGGCCAGTGCCTCAGCCGCGGTTGTTGCCTCGGCCGCCGTCCGCCGCCGGGTCTCGGCCAGTAACCGGGTCAGTCTGCGGACGGCAGGGTGGGCGGCGACGGCAGTGCGCGTTGCACTGCGGTCTGCTTCTGCCGACGTAGCTGCAGGCTGGGCGTGTGCCATCGGCGGCTCAACCATCGAGCTCGGCTCAGGCACCAGGCGCGCTCGTCCCGACCGCCGCATCGACACGGGCCGCAATGTGGAGACGGGTGTGATGCGCGTTGAGGGCGGGGCAGGTGCACGCTGGTGGCGCCGGTATACCTGCCAGTGTATGATATTCTCGTCACTTTGTCGGGCATCGACTCCTTCTGTGCTCTACGACACGCTGCATGCCATCAGGCAGGTCGGCATTCTGCTCACCATGTTTGTGGACAAGGTGACCGAACTGCTCCACAAACGGATCGTTCGCCTCGACCAGCGGTGCGACGTTCTCCGGACCGGCACATGCGCTGGTCTGGCGACAATGAAGAAGACGAAGAAGACCAGGAGGAGATCGACCGTCTCCAGATCTTGGTCTCCAAGATGACCACCATTGTCGACTCGAGTAAGTTCATTGAGGCGGTCAAGGTTCCCGCTCGCTCGGCCGGCGTTGCCAAGCTTCAGGGCACGACTTGAAGCCCGAGATGAAGCGGCACGTAGCGGTCGACGAGGCAACGTTTACAAACACAGTGTCCTTGATCGGGATCCGCTACAGGAGCAGGTTGTCCTTCTCCGAGACTAGGTCGAAAACTTGGCCGGCGATGGGGGTAGCCGAGGCCAGGCAGCGCAGCCATGTGCGTCAAGTGCCCAGTGGGCCCGACAAGAGCTTGGCCACACCAGCCGATATCGACGAGAGGCCGATGCCAAGGAGCTTGGCGCGGAGGTTGGCATCGAGGGCGATGCCGAGGACCTTGACCGGCTCTGAGTATGTGTTTGAGTCAACGACGGTGGACATCTTGGAGATGAGCAACTTGTGGCGGTCGATTTCGGACTGCTTGTCACCGTCGTAGTCGTCGGACCAGCGGATGATGGCGGTCTGCAGTTGGTCGCACCGCTGTTCGAGGCGGATGATCCGCTTGCGGAGCATGTCACTCTCCTTGGTTACAAATGCCGTCAGGGAAATTCCGGCTTGCCCGATGGAGAGCAAGTAGACGAGGAGGACGACCGTGTCGTAGAGGGTGAAGATGGCGAGTTCGTCGAGGCCCGACGAGGTGATGAGAATGCGGTAGATCATGATGAGGGCAAATATGAGGACAAAAAACAGGGCCACAAGAGTGATGGGATCGCGGAGGACGGCGACGCGGCCCGACTCGCGGAACCGCACGTACTTGCGGATGCCGAGCCAGACTTTGAAGTTCCGCAGCGAGTTGAGCTTGAGATAGAACGGGATGTAGCCGGTCGACGAGGCAACGTTGGAGAAGGCGGCATCGTTCTTGTTGATTCGCTTTTGAAGAAGATGGTTGTTCTCGGAGACAATGTCGAAAAAGTGCGTGGCGAGGTTGACGTCTTGCCACAGATCGGCCGAGATGACCACCATGCACACGATAAAGACAAAGCCGACCACAAACGAGCAGTACATAGTCGAGAGGACAATGACAACATCGGCAGCGTGCGGCGTGCCGTGAGAGCCCCAGAAGCCGCGCCCGTCGTCGATAATCGCCCGGAAGATCGGGCCGAGGAAAGCCTGGATAGTGGCGCCGAGAACAGCGAGCGCGAGCGTGGTCACGGCAAACGACGACTGGTTGAGAAAGTGCGCCTTGGACTCGAGGAGCTCAACAAGACGCGTCACCACCATTGTGTTGACCTCTTTCTGCCGCTCAAGCGTCAGCGAGTTGAGCACACGCTGCTTTTGTTGCTTGGGCGTGAGTGTTTTGATCGAGTCGTCGTCCGACGTCGACGACGACGACGAGTAATCGTCAAAGTACGACGACTCGTTGCGGCCCTCCTCCTCGTCGGCCTCAAAGTGAATCGCCTCGTACCGCGCGTTGGCTCCATACAGCAGGCCTGCAGACACTGCGATGGTGGCGTAGAAGATGACCGGCGCCACCGTCTCGGTCGTGGACACCGCCGTATCGATCGAGAGCGCAAGTGTAACGTTGAGCGCCGCAAGGATAGGAATCGGCACAAACAGCAGGAGCACCAGGTAGAAGATGCCCAGCTCGCCGCCGTTGTGCCTGTTGCGGAACGAGATGAAAGCAAATGGGGAGTAGCACACCAGTCCGATCCACACAAACGGCGCAGCCACAATAAAGAGCAGAGCAAGAAGTGTAATCCGCAGGCCCTGCGCCACATACGACTCGGAGATGAGCCGCTTGACCGAAAAGTCGTTCTCCTCCTCCACGAGCTCGACCTTGAGATCCGTCTCCCACTGCATCAGCTTTCGCACCCGTGGATCCTCCCGCAGCTCGCGGTACTTGAGCCCGGCCATCTCGTCGATGTCCACCTCCTCCTCGGCTTGCAGAGTCGAAACGACCACATCGTTGACGTTCGCGTTGCGCTCTGGAAGCACAATCCCGCCCACAGACACCTCCGACTCTGCGTCCGGGTTAAATCGTCCGTCCATAGCTTGCTTGCTGTATCCGCAGAGTGGAGTCTGGATCTCGCTCGCTGCGTGCTGCTCCTGGCCAGCGCCGCTGCCTGCGGAACGGCCGCCGAACAAACGTTGCCCGCCGCCTGCTCGAAAGCCGTCGGCTCAAACGCCGGCAGCTGGCCACCCTGTCCAAATGGCCGATGGACGCCCGTTGCAACGTCATCGCCATCTGTTGCCTGGCTGCCTTTCTCCGCATCTCGCATCTCCTCCCCTCTCTTTCCCTCCCACAACCTGATCATCCGCAGTCTGTTCACCCCCTCCCCCCCCTGTCCTCTGCCTTTCCCGGCGTGGTGCATCGAGTGCGGCAGCTGACATCCTCCGCACCTCGCCCACAGCCACGGCCACAGCCTTGGCCTCTGCCACTCCCCACTCCCCACTCACCACTCCCCACTCCCCACTCCCCACTCACCACCACTCATCGCCATTGCTGCCACGCTTTACTCTCACACTCGCCCGTAGTCGTGTCGTCCTCAGCCTCATACCCGCCCAGCCTGGGCTCGGAGCCGCCCAGCCTGGGCTCGGAGCCGCCCAGCCTGGGCTCGGAGCCGCCCAGCTCTGAGCTCGACGAAGCTGGCGAGGACTCGGCCACCTTCATGGGCTCGGGTTTGGGCTCGGGCTCGGCTGCTATCGTGGGCTCGGGCTCTGGCTCTGGCTCTGGCTCTGGCTCTGGCTCTGGCTCTGGCTCGGCCGCCGCAGGAGGAGTTGGTCTGGCCAACGTGGTGGCGTGGGGCCGAGCTTTGGTGGCCTCGCATGTCTTCCCCGCGGGGATGGTTGCGGCTGCAGCGACGGCAATCGAGCCGCACACACTGCCCTTTGCGCTTGCTGCTGGGCTTAGTCTGTGGCTGCCGGGCATGGCCATGATGCGGCCCACAGCCGCTGTGCTGGCGCTGTACGCACTGGCGCTGCTGATCTCAGCCGCTGCTGGCGCTGTCTCCTCGGGCGTGGCGGCTGCAGCTGGAGTGGCGCTTGCTCCGGCCCTCGCTCGGGCTGCCCCCGCGGCAAGGGCCGAGCAACCGCCGGCAGCGATGTATTCTGGCGTCGGGCACGTGGTGTTGGGCGCCGGAGTGCTGGCGGCTGGCGGAACGGTGGCGCCAGCCATCCTGCCGGCGATCTATGTGGTGGGCTGCGGCGTGGCGGCGGGCGTTCGCATGGGCATGCTGGCGGCTGGACTGCTCACGCCGCTTGCTGGAATGGCCACGCTCCACGCTCTGGTGGCGCATGTATGGGCGTGGCCGAGCCTGACGTCGTCGACGGCGGCGATGGTCGGCCACGGCGCGGCGTCTCCGTGGATTGCCCGCGGTGCTCTGCTTGCCGCCGTCGGTCTGCGGCTGCTTGCGCAGACGCCTCAGGTTCCGCCGATGCGGCGGGGCGTCCTCCGCTGGCTCCGGCTCGCGGCGCTGGTGGCGCTGGTAGTGCTTGCCGTCGGCCTCGACTCGGTCCTGGGCCTTGCGCTGTTTGTGACCGGCTGCGCCAACCTGGTATTCCTCCCGGGAACCCAGGCGGCGCGCTGGTTGGCGGCGGTCACCGCTGGTGTCGTCTTTGGCGTCTTTGGCTACCGCTATGTTTCGGAGCTGGGCGATGCGCCGTCGGGGACCATGTTTGTCTTTGGATTTGGCCTCCTGGCAGTAGGAAGCGCTCTTGCAAGCGTTGCGCTGCGGCTGACATGCGAAGCCGTTGACGATGACGCTGAGAGCGGCCGCGGCCGCGGCTCTGGGTCACGGTCTGTGGTGAGCAGCGCAGACTCGTCATCGCCGCTGTGGGCGCTTGGCGTCCGCGCCGTGGCGCTGACAGTGCTGCTGGCCCTTGCACTTGCACGGCCGTCGTATGTGAACGCAGCGTATCTAGCGGCGGCGATGCTGGTAGCGGCACTACCGCTGGCGACGGTGGCGCGCGGCTGGCGTCTGTTGGAGGCGTACGCGCTTGCGGCTTGCACGGTGCTGTACGCGTTGCGACAGTTTGAGGTTGTCGACTCGCTTGCTGACTACAACTCGGCCTTTGATCTGCTCTCTTGGGAGCTGCCACTCGTTGCGGTCCTGCTTCTCCTTCAGCCGGTGGTGGGACGGGTGCTTGCGGCACCGCCGCGACCGTTGCAGCTCTCGCTTGTGCAGCGGGCCGCTACTCGGCCGGCGTTGGATGTGGCGCTGGCGTTTGCGGCGCTGGGACGGTACCAGCTTGGGCTCATCTCGTGCGGCTACCTGCTCCTCATGCTAGTCGGCGGCATCAAATCGCTACGGCGCCAGGTGCCGATGCCAGCGCTTGTCTATGCCTCGGCGGTGAGCCTGGCGCGGATTCTGCAGCATGTGTTCAAGATCGACATTTGGGACAAGGTCGGGCTGGAGGCCATCGGCGGAAGCTCCGGCGAGCACTTTGCGCGGCGGCTCGGCGACGTGGTGTGGGACGTGGCTGCAGTCGGCGCGGCGTTTGCCGCGCTACGGCACACGCTGCGTGGAGCAGAGCGCAGGCCGCCGTTCCCGGCAGGCACCTCGGTGGTCCACCGTGGCTGCCTCGGCGCACTCTGTATTCTGGCGGCACTGCAAGCACCGTCGGTGAGCGGGACGCTGTACCTGGCGGCGGCGCTGGCAGTCTTTGCCTCGCTGGAAGCATCGACGCGGCCGCGGCTGCTGCGCAAGCTGCTCTGCGGCGGCTCTGCTGCGCACGTGGTTCTGGCAGCCACGTACCAGCTCTGGGCGACCGAGCTCGGCATCGAGAGCCGAGTCACTTTCGAGTGGCTCGGCCTGCGGGTCTTTGACGGCTCGACCTGGGCACTCTTCTCGCTCGCCACCCCGCTCAGCGTCGCCGCCCTTGCTGCCGCTGCCTAGCTATGACGCGGTGTTGTAGGTCGACGTGGCGATGGCTGACGGCACGAGTCCAATCGACTCGGCGTCAGTGCCGGTCTCCGCGTGCGCGCGCGCCAGCCGCTTGTGCCACAGTGAACACTGCCAAAACGCAACCATGCACGACGCGATGCCGAGGAGCGCTGCCACAATAGTGATCGAGTCGTGGGCGAGCCGGCCCCAGTGAGCGGTTGTCCACGTCGACGGGTTCGGTGGGCGGAAGAGGGCGCCCGGCTAGCCACAAGCGGCAGGGCCGAGAGCGTAGCTTCGTCCATGGTCGCGTCGATCGCGGTTGTGTTGCTCAGGCCCAGTCCCTCGCCGAGGACCAGCGCCGTCCACTCGAGAACAAAGCAGAGCGGGGTGTTGGCGAGCGCAAAGTCTGGCTCCAACCGCTCGCGATACGTCGTGGCTGGGAGCGCGCAGACAGTGCTCGCCACCTCACGGAGTTCCGCCAGCGACGGCACGTGCGGCGCGATACTGCCGGTCGAGTTGACGTAGCTGGCGGCGGCTTGGTAGCCGCGAGCAGCGATGCCCTGGAGCGAGACGTGAGCCGCTGTAAGCGGGGCTGGGAGCGAGATGCCATCCATGCCGGCACCACTGCTCATGTTGAGAAGCGGTGCTAGCTCGGCAGCGCAGCTGGCACCGTCGGCGGAGGCACCAAGCAGGCCGAGCGGACTCGCCGAGCCGGCGCCAACAAGCGCGACAAAGGCGGTGGCGGGGAGGCAAGCGGTGGTTTGGTTGGCGTTGGAGGCGCGGACAGCGGCGGTACCAGCGGAGCGCCAGGCCAAGGCCTTGGCGCCCGGACCAAAGGCCGGCCACGCGGCTGCCATCGACGACACATACGCGCGGCAGGCAAAGGTGAGGGTGGCGTGGGTGTCGGGCAGGCCCTGCGGGGCGGCAGCGCCGACAGCAAGAAACTCCCAGGAGAAGACGACGCCCGCAACAGACGCGTCGCCGCCGGCACAAACACCGCTTGCCAGCGGATTGGCGGCCAGCCAAGCGGCAGTGCCCGGAGCCGCCGCCGGCAGCGGCAGCGTCCAATAGCCCTTGTCCTCAAACTCCGAGTCTGCGAGGAAGCCGCGGAGCCGCATGGCAGCGGCATCGACCGCCTCCGCCTCAGCAGCGCTCGTCGGCGCAATATAAGTGTATATCGGCGTGGCGTAGCGGTCGTCGAACGGGACGACGGAGCGAGCGACGGCGAGGGCGGCGGCCAGCGGCGCCGGATCGGGTGCGGTGAACGAGGGCAGCCGGACGAGACGAGCCACGACGACCACCGCGTCCGAGACAGCCGGCGCAGCCACAAGCGGGAGCGGCGGCGGCTGAGGGTGTGAGGCGGCAGGCAGCGGCGCTCCGGAGCCCGACACGGCCGCCGGCCAGGCTGCCACAACCAGAGCGGCTTCGCCCTCGTCGGCGGCATCGGTCACCAGCACCACCGCGTGCTGGGTCGCCGGCAAGGTGTCGCGGACCGCCAGGTTGAGCACGAGCACAATGACTGCAACCACAAGCCCGCCTGCAGCTGTTCCCGCCCATCCACTCCGCGGGCTCTGTCTCCATCCGCCGCCTTCCATTGTTTTCCACGGCCGGGCGGTGGGGGGGGGGGGTGGGTGGGGTGGGGTCACGTGTGCTGAGTGGGCTTTGATCACGGTCGCGGTGTTTGATCAAAGGCGTGATCGATCACCGGGGTGAGAGGTGGTGGTGGTGTGTGTGTGTGTGGGGATGGATGAGGGATGAGGCGAAGAGCCCCTGAATCTGCTTGGGAGCAGGCGCCACTGGCGGGGGTGGCTGCGGTGGTGGTCGTGGTCGGAGTGGACGGAGGTGGCAGACGCAGGCCAAGACGATGTGACGGACGGGGGTGACGGGCGGCGGTGATCGGCTCGGCTGGCCACTTTACGACCTTTTTCGGACGGGCAGACGGCGAGCTGGGATGTCATCGATGGGGCGGACGGGGCTTCCAGGGAGGCGACTCGGACCGCGGCAGGCATGGGGACGGCTTGTGGGCGCGAGTGAGGCTGGGGCACGTCTAGTCATCCATCTCTTGGCTCGTAAGATTGTGCTGAGCCGGCGCAGGGGCGGGGTGCGGGCAGGCGTCTCTACCGGCGGCCGCAGAGCCGAGGTGGCGGCGACGGTGGCGACGGCGGCGACACGACGGGTCCACTGGATCCGAGGCGGCGCAGGCCGAGTGGCGGTAAACGGGCGGATGCTGAGTCGTGGTGCGGCGCGTGCTCTGCTCCATGGCGACGTGGTGAGCTTTGACGGCGCCGTCCTGGTCTTCCATGACCTGACTGTGACGAGCATGCCCGGCGGCCCGGCGGCGGCGGCGCGGCTGGCGCTCTGCAGCAGGGCGCCGGGCCTGCGGCGGACGCTATCGGCGCCACAACCTGCGGCGATGGAGCCCAAGCCCTGCGATGGGGCCTTTTGGGCGCTCGACATGCGGGCGCTGATGCGGGATGGGGCGCGGGCGCGGGCGGGCAGCAGGGGGGCAGCGACCCGGCTCATCATCGAGCGGCCACATGTGGCGGAGACGTCGTATGCGGCGGCGGTGTTCAAGACTGTTGAGCTTGCATTTCGTCGCTTTGTCAACAAGGATCGGGTGTACGTGGTCGATGCGGTTGAGGTGGTCGACAATCCGCAACTCGAGGCTGCGTTTGCCGAGCATGTCGAGGCGCTGGCGGCGCGGTCACCGCCTGCCACGCTCGAGCCGCCGGATGGAGCATCGCCGCTGCAGCGCAAGACGCTCGAGTCTCTGGCGGCATCGGTGGTAGGCAATGCGCCTCGCGGGACGCATCCGATCCTGGCGTGGCACGGGACAGGGCCGGCGGCGGTCGACGCCATCTGCGCGCAGGGCTTCCGCACGGGCGTCTCGAAGGCGCGCGACAGCGGATGGTACGGGGCCGGGACGGCGTACCTCACGCAGCTGCCCAACTATGGCATGCTGTACATCAAGGACAACGCGCGTGAGCCTGGAGCCTTTTCGCTCCTCCTTTCTTGGGTCTTGATGGGCAAGGTCTACCCTGTGACCGAGGTCATCGAGGGCAAGCCGCAGATGGATGGCTTCGACTCGCACTACGTCCTCGTCGACGAGTATGAGCCGCTGCCCTCGGCCGACGCCGAGCCGACGGGCGACGAGATCGTGGTCTTTGACCCTGCTGCTGTCCTCCCGCGGTTTGTCGTCCACTTTTCGGTCTCGAATGGCAAGCCCGAGCTCGATGCCGTCACTGAGCGCGAGGCAGGCGACGCTGGTTCTGGCGGGGAGAGTGGTGATGAGCAGAGTGACGATGAGGAGAGTGGTGATGAGGAGAGCGGTGATGAGGAGAGTGACGGACCTCCGTCGAGCTGCACCATCTCGTAGGCAGGAAATGACACGAAATAATTTGGAGCATGCCGTGGAGCATGCGGTGGTGCAAGCGGTGGAGCATGCAGCTGACGTGCTTGGCAGGTGTGGCGTGGCATGCCACGACAGACCTGCCGCGCGGTGCTCCGCGCCGCCCACACCGCCAGCCAAGCTTGCGGAGGTAGAGCGTTGGTGTTTGCACATCTCTCTCACACATTGTATCGAGTTATGTTCCGAGTTGCTGGTGGGTGCATGCGGCTGGGCAGTGGGTTGAGCGCGGCTAGTGGTCGGTTGGCCGCTCAGGTCCACGAGGTGGCTGCCAAGGGCTTTGAGGTCAACATCGATGCGTACGAGCGGGCGCGGCCGTCTTATCCGGAGGGAGCGGTTCGGGCTGTGGCGGCGGGGCTATGCGCGCGGGGCGGGCAAGGCGCGCCGCTAAAGGTGCTGGAGATCGGGGCCGGGACCGGCAAGTTTACCCGCCGCCTTTTGGGCGAGTTGGCCGGGCGGGCGGGCCCGGGCGGGGTATCACTGACGGCAGTGGAGCCTGCGGCGGCGATGCGGGCTGCTTTTGCTGCAGCAGTGGTGGACGCGCCCGGGGTGGTGCCCGATGGTGCCGAGGTCTCGGTGGAGGCGGGGGCGGCCGACGCGCTGCCGGCTGCTGACGGCAGCGTCGATCTGGTGGTGGTGGCACAGGCCTTCCACTGGTTCGCCAACGAGGAGGTGGTGGCCGAGATGGCGCGGGTGCTGGCGCCGGGCGGGCGGTTGGCATTGGTGTGGAACATGGAGGATCGGACGGCGCCGTGGGTGGCCTCGCTCCGCGACGCTTACGAGGTGTACGAGGGCAGCGCGCCGCAGTACCGGCAGGGGAAGTGGAAGCAGGTGTGGACGACGGCGACGGCGAAGGAGGCTTTTGCGCCGCTTGCACACGTCCAGGTGGCATGGAGCATGCCAGCAGACCTCAAGACGATCTGGGAGCGGATCAAGTCCAAGTCGTACATCTCGCTGCTCGACGACGCGAGGCGCGAGGCGCTACAGGCCAAGGTCACCGCACTTGCGCTCGAGGCGCACCCGCAGCTGGCCGAGCAAGCTGGCGCCTCGGTGGCGTATCCGTACCACACCGACGGCTACATCACGCACAAGCTGTGAGGAGAGTGTTACACGGCTCAGCGCTTGAGATTGTCGGCGAGCTCGGCAAGGGCGTCGTAGTAAAGGTCAGACGAGTGGTCCTTGAGCATGGTATTGGAGAGAAGCAAGTTCTCAAATGTGTCATTGGGCACCTGATGGAGTCTGTACGACTCGGAGCCGATGCAATGCAGGTGGTAGACCTTGCCGGGCGGGAAGAGATTGGTCACCTCGTCGTCTTCGAGGTCGTCGTCGTCGTCGTCAGGCCGCGGCCCGCCGCGCGGGCGAACGGCACCGGCAAGGCGGCCGGCAGCCTTGCCTGCGGCCTTGGTGCCACGGCTTGCGGCCTTGCCTGCAGCCTTACCTCCGCGAGCGGCAGACTTGCCGGCGGACGACTCGCCGGCGCGCGAGGCGGCGCCGGCCAGGGCCTTGCCGGCTCGGGTCTCCTTGGCGGCCGCCAGGGCCTCCTGCTTCCACGGCGAGTCCTTGACCTCTTGACGGAGGTTGATGAGTGCCCGGGTGGAGGCGCGTGGGACGCAGTCGTCGGCGTGGACAACGGTGGTGACGTAGTCTGCGGCAGCCTCGGCGAGGTCGAGCGAGACGGCACAAGCCGGGGCAAGGACAAACGACTCGACGTCCATAAACTCTTCCTCCTTGAGCAGAATGGCAAGAAGAGCCGCTGTTCCACCGCCGAGCGAGTGACCGACAGTCATGACCGAGTACCCGTCGTGATCATTGAGGAGGGCGTAGATGTCGTCGAGGATGTTGTTCATGAACCACGAGGCGGCGGTGTAGATGCCGCGATGGGCCTTGCCGGTGAGGCACGGCTCAAGAGCAGCGGCAGCGTCTGTGATGGCGTCTGCTGCCGAGGCGGTGCCGCGGATGCCGACAACCACCTTCTGTTTGTCGTGATCGAGGGCGAGAAAGTAGGCCGGGCGGGACTTTTGCGAGGTCCAATCGGAGCGGACAATGTCATCGGCGCTCCATCCGAGAGCCTCGACAACGGCCTCATCCGAGCCTGAGTACGTGGCGAGGATGACGCGCGACCAGTAGAGCATGTGCTTGACCAGAGCCTTGTCCTTGATGGGCTTCTCCTTGAGATACGGATGCTCGCCCGAGGCCACGGCCTCCTCCGCCTTGCGCATGTGGGCCTTGCGGAGAAAGTAGAGACCGGCGGTCAGATCGGATGGCTTCCACGGACCCATATCCCGAGTTGCTTCCAGAATGGCCTTGGCCACCGACTTCATGGTCGCATCCTCGGATGGCTCATTCGCACTCGTTCCGGCTTCCTCCTCGGCTGCCGCTGCCTCTCGAGCCACCTTGACCTTGCTCGGCTTGGGCGGCTTCTTCTTGGGCTTGGGCGGTGGTGGTGGCTCTTCCGGCGGCGGCTTGGATGACCCACATCCCATACTCCTTCCTTCCTTCTCGCCTGGCAGGCTGGCCGAGTTGGGTCTGGCTCGGCCTCGGCCCCTGCTGTTCGCTGCCGACTCCTGCCCTGTGTCTCGCTGTCTGCCAAGATGTCCGTTGAATGACGGCTGAAGTCGAAGTGAGAGTGAAGTTGTTTCGGGGGGAGGGGGGGGGGGGGGAGGGGAAAGGGGATGGATGTATGTGTGTGGTGTGGTTAGTTGTTGGCTGATTGACTTGGCTGGTTTAGCTGCTAAAGGCAGGGATGCCGGTGATCTGGCGGCCGAGGATGAGCTTGTGGATGGTGTCAGTGCCCTCGTAGGTCTTGACGGCCTCGAGGTTGAGGACGTGGCGGATGACGTGGTACTCGTCGGCGATGCCGTTTCCGCCGAGCATGTCGCGGGCCTCGCGGGCAATGTCGATGGCCTTGGCGCACGAGTTGCGCTTGATGAGCGAGATCATCTCGGGGCAAAGCTCGCCGGCGTCGATGAGGCGGCCGACGCGGAGCGCGGACTGGAGGCCAAGAGCGATCTCGGTGTTCATGTCGGCAAACTTGACCTGCGAGACCTGGTTGGCGGCGAGCGGGCGGCCAAACTGCTTGCGCTCGAGCTGGTACTCGACAGCCTTCTCCATGCAAAACTCGGCGGCGCCGAGGGTTCCCCAGGCAATGCCGTAGCGAGCCTTGTTGAGGCAGCCGAACGGGCCGCCAAGGCCACGCGCGTTGGGCAGCAGGTTCTCGGCAGGCACCTCGACGTCGTCCATGGAGATCGAGCCGGTGATCGAGGCGCGGAGCGAGAACTTGCCGTCGATCTTGGGCGCGGTCAGGCCCGGCATGCCCTTCTCCAGGATGAAGCCGCGGATGACGCCGTCGTCGACGGTCTTGGCCCACACCACAAACACGTCGGCAATGGGCGAGTTGGTGATCCACATCTTGGAGCCTGAGAGCTTGTACGACGAGCCGTCGCTTGACGGCACCGCCCGGGTCTCCATTGAGCCCGGGTCCGACCCGTGGTTCGGCTCGGTGAGGCCAAAGCACCCGATGAGCTCGCCCGTCGCCAGCTTGGGCAAGTACTTTTCGCGCTGCGCCTCGGTGCCGTACGCGTGGATCGGGTGCATGACCAGCGAGGACTGAACCGACATGGCCGAGCGGTAGCCCGAGTCGACCCACTCCACCTCGCGGGCAATGAGCCCGTATGCCACATGCGAGAGCCCTGCGCACCCGTAGCCGTCGATGGTGGACCCGAGCATGCCCATGGCGCCCATCTCGGCCATGATCTCCGGATCAAACCGCTCCTCGCGGTGCGCCTCCAGCACTCGCGGGAAGAGCTTCTCGCGCGTGTACCGCCGCACCGAGTCCATCACAGACACCTCCTCTTCCGTCAGCTGCTCCTCCAGCGCCAGCGGATCCTTCCAGTCGTACTTGCGCAGCGACGACGCCATCCGCGCTATCCGCCAGTACCACACCCGCACCATCATAGCATTACTGATATGAGTCAATCGTCCCTCGCCCCATCGCCTCCATCACCTCCACGCTCCACCATCATTGGCTACTGAGTGCGGCGGAGGAGGCTGGGCCAGAGAGGAAGGACCAGCAGAGCACAAAGGCTCTGCCCGCAGTCCACCGCATGCCACCACAGCCCATCATGACAAGAAGTGTTTCCACCCTTGTAACAGCGACCTCTCTCCCCTTCCCCTCCCTGCCCCCCTTGAACCCCCTCTTCCTCTCTGCCTTCCCTGTCCCCCCCCCCCCCCTGGGCATACACACCTTCCCCGCCAAGGATCGTCCGGCTGACGTGTCAGGGATCGCCACCTCCTCCCTGCGCCCTCCCTTGTAGTTCCAAAGGTCGCAGCCCGCACACAAGCACCAACGCCAGCAAGCATGTTGAGACGAGTTGTGCCGCGTTGGCTCTGGGTGGGGTTCAGCCAGCTGACTGGAGCTGTGCGGGGCAGTTCCCCCCCCCCCCCCCTACCTCGGGGAAAGGGGGGGGGGGGGGATATTCGAGATCGGGGTTGATCAAGTGACGCCAGAGAAGAAAGGGGAAGAAGACGAGAGGATGGTGGTGGGGACGGCTGCTGAGGGGTAGCTGGCTTGATGTCTGTCGGGAGCGGACGGACGGCCGGGTACTGGCCGGGTACTGGCCGGGTACTGGCCGGGTACTGGCCGGGTACTGGCCGCTTCGTCTCTGATTCCCGGTCGCTTGATGGCGCTTGTGGCTATTGCTTCTGGTCTCGGATCGAGCTCTCGCCTGACAACATCTTCCGATCAACCGGTGGCCGTATCGGCTCACTTCCTCGGATCTGCTGGTGCTGGCACAGTGTAGCAGCTGCGACCAAACTGCACCCTTCTCCACGACGGCATACTCGGAGAGGTCAAAGGCGTAGTCGTCGTCATCATGATCAACCTTTAAAGCCATCGATCCGATTGGTCGTCTTCATGGACGATCTCGTTGAGACGGCGGCGCGAGGACAATCAAGCACACTCGACTCGAACGCGCCATGCCGAAAGCCAAGAGCGGACGAGCCAAACGCAAGGCAGCCGCGGCCGCGGTGATGCGGCGGACGACTGGACCGTCTCCTGCGGCCATTGCTACAGCTAGCACCATGAACGAAGATGAGAAGAAGCACGCTGGCCTAGTCTCACTGAGAGACGTGTTCGGTGTACGTACCGTCCGCTGCATCTCCTCCCTGCCCTGCTTACATGCTCCCTTCCCCACCGAGTGGCGGATGGGGCCGAATGATGGGCGCTCGCCTCCCATCCCTCCCCCGTTGGCGGTCATCATGCCCTGCCGACTGCACGGACTCTGCCACTCCGGACTGTGACTCACGTACATGCGAACTGGGGGAGAGAGTGTAGGTCTCGGAAGTTGGAGCTGCAAAGGACGCACAGGATGAGCTCGAGGGCGTGGGTAACATTGATCTCTCCATCCTGCCCAAGCGTGAGCGGCGGAGGGTCAAGGCCGCGGCGTTTGTCAAGCGGCTGGAGATCGAGGCGCAGCTGGCGAACGCCAAGGCTGAGATGCCGCTTGACCTGGCGGTCATGACCTCGACGCTTGATGAGATCCAGTCCTCGCTCGAGGAGGTCGATGCCGTCGGCAAGGCAAAGTCCGCCAAGGACTTTAAGGGCGCTGCTGTGGCCAAACACGGTCGCACCACCCTCAAGATGCGCTCGCGGACCCGCCGCCAGGGCGTGGATCACTTTGCTCTCGTTGCTGCCCACCCGGTCTTCCGCGACGATCCGCTGGCTGCCATCGAAGGCCACGTCCTCGCCACCGTCAAGGCCCGCAAGCCCACCCCGCGCAAGGGCAAGACAAAGTCTGGCATGGGCAAGGGTAAGGGCAAGGTCCAGAACACCCACCGTTCTGCATCGGTCAAAACCGCCCGCGCCACGCCGGGTTCTGCCCCATCGTCGCGCCGCAAGAACTTTGGCAAGTCGCAGCGCAAGCGGCGCTAAGCTCTGGCGCTCGTGCGCAGCCCCAAGACAGATCAAACGCCATCGCATCGGCCTTTTTACCTGCTGCAGAAAGTGTTGCCGCGACTGCTACGAGTCGCTAACACTCGCGGCCGGAGTCACAGCCCTGAAAAAGCGGCATAACTACATGAAGGACGGTGTCGTGAGGAAAGGGGGGAGGGGAGGCCGTCGACGGTGATGATGGTGATTTCCCCGGGCCGCTGGCTCGGCGGTTGTTGCACGAAGCCCTTCATATCGTGTGTACGCGAGCTATCGATGGGCGTTCATGTACACGCGGATCACCGTGCCAATTGCCATGATGTGCTGGCAAAGATGGTCAGCACAGTAAATGCGAGGAAATCTCACGCCGTCAAGCCAGCGGAGCGACCGCTCGGCCGGCGACCGAGTGTGTGCTCAGAGTTGGCTTGGGCAGCTTTCGCCGTTCTGCAACCTTGCAAGGAGCGAGGACGACTGATCACGTTTTTTTCACAGTCACCTGCAGCGAGCGTGTTGGTACTGGTAGCGGCCAACTTTTGGATCTGTACGACGACAACTTGCCATCGCCTACCTTGCAGTTAACGAGACCTGGCAGCGTTGTGGATGATGGTAGTCTGGCATTCATAGGCTATGGCTACAGCATTGGGTATCGGGAATGATGGAGGGGGACGCTGAGGCTGGGGGGGGGGGTCGGGAAGATGGGGAGGGGTACCGGCAGGGATGGGGAGTAGGGAACGGGAAGCTGCAGGCTGGGGCCTGGCCAAGTGTGGGCAATCGTCGAGTACCGGCTGGTGCTCACTGAAGCGTGATCGTTGAGAGTGTGACGACGACGCGATCAAGCCATGGAAGCACACGCCGTGTCGTGACGATGCGGAGGATGTGAAGGGTGGTGGTAAGAGCGATGGGGTGGTAGGGAGAGGTGGAGAGATGGAGAGGTGGAGAGGTGGCGTTTGGTTGATGGGCGGGTGTCCGATCAGTGGTGGCGGCGAGCGGGAGCAGACAAAGATGATGGTTCTTCTTCGGGGCGCCGCGATTCGGCTTGAATGGAAGGATTGGCCCTGGACAGGCGACATGCTCAACACACTGACTGCAGGCATACTTTGCAGCGCGGTTCCATACGCATGCGTATAAAAAGCGGGTTATCCACGTTTGGGACGGTGAAGGGGGCTAGATGGGGTTTGAGGTGCCACATCGAGGATGGAGTATGGGCGGTTCCCGCGTGCGGGCCGCCACGTGCACCTCGCTCACTCACCCGACCGACAGAACGGAGAGCGTCATGGCCGAGACAGCGAGGAGACGGGCAATCCAAAGGCCAAAGCAGAGCGGTGGGCGGAGTTCTGAGAGCTTGATCTCGTTCTCAACAGAGTCGCAGTCGTTGTAGTTCTCAAAGTCGAGGTGATACGTCGTCGACATGGTGATGATGATACTTGCTGTTTGACTTGAAGCGAATGGAAATTTAACGCGGTAAAGTGCGGTGTGGCGGTGCGAGTAGCTGGGTGCGAGTGGCTCTGCCAGACGGGCGAAAACGACACCATTCAAACGTTTCGAACCGGCCAGATATCATCATCACGTCTTCCTCTCCCTCGCAAGGCAGTATCAAACACTGCACGAAGAACATGGTTGATAGAGGAAGTCAATCAAGGAGGACACTCACTCTATCTTCTTCCCCCAGGCCACCTTGAAGATCATCAGCATCAGCCAGGCAGATGGCCTGCCAGTTGGATCGGTTCGTGTGGCATGAGATTTGTTCATTGCAGGATATTCGCCCCCTCACAACCGCAGTCTCCTCCCCCTCTCTCCCCCCCTCCCTTTCCCATTCAACCGCAGCCTAGCAAGCGTGACTATAGTGACCACCTCTCGCCCACCAACCACACCCCCCCCCCCCCCCCCCTCCTCCTCCCTCCCCTCCCCTCCCCTCCCCTCTCCCTCCTCCCTCCCACTCCTTCCCTACCCCCCCCCCCTACCCCCTCGCTCTCCCTCCGCCTCAACACCCTTCTCCCCTAACCCGCTTCGCTGACTCTGCCGGGTATGACGGACCGTGTTCTGCTGGACCCGTCGACAGTGATGGAGGTGGAGACGGCAGCAGGGGATGTGTTCCCTGGCTCTTCGGCTACCTTTACCATGCTCATTGATGATCCGTCGCCTGCTGTGGAATGGTACCGGAATATGTTCATTGGTCGTGATCATGTTCATTATGTGGCAAGCGATGACGAGGCCCTCGGTGGTGTGGTCATCTTCTCGGTCATGATGACGGCGGTGCAGAAAATCGGTGTCCAGTATCGGATCATTGTCTGGTCGGTCAAGTCGATTGTACGCAAAGTCATCGAAGCGCCAGCGCCAATGTCGTTTCCCGACCTCCTCACTGCCGTCGACCCGCACCTTGGCGCCCATCGCAAGCTCTTTGCCAAGCTCGACCGCGCGCATGTGACCTCGCCCTCGGCGCAGAACACGCTGCTCAAGCTCGAGAATGATGAGCCCAAGCTCCGGATCAAGATTGGCGTCCTGTTTGCCAAGCAGGGCCAGACCGAGGAGACCGCCATGTACCAGAACGAGCACGGCTCGCCGGCGTTTGAAGAGTTCCTGGATCTGTTGGGCGACCGGGTCCGCCTCAAGGGCTTCACTGGGTACTCTGCCCAGCTCGACACGTCACACGACGGCTCAGGCACCCACTCGGTCCACCGCTCCAAGTTTGCCGGCTACGAGATCATGTTCCACGTCTCGACGCTGCTGCAGTACGACCCGACTGACGAGCAGCGGATCCAGCGAAAGCGGTTCATCGGCAACGACATTGTCATGATTGTGTTTATGGACGGCGACACGACGTACAACATCGAGTGCATGGCGTCACAGTACACCCGGGTTGTCTTTGTTGTCCAACCTATCGACCACCCGGAGCTCGGCCCGGCCTACGCTGTCGCCGCAGGTACCATGAAGGGCCTCCGCGCTTTTGGTCCGCCGGTCTACTCGGTCTACCCGCGCTCCGAGGCCTTTATCGAGACTCTCCTCGCCAAGTGCATCAACGGCGAAAAGGCGACCATGGCGTCGACCGAGTTTGTCATCCGTGACCGCCGAACCCGCAAGGGCTACCTCGACATCTTCCACGCCGACTACGCAAACCCCAAGGCGCTGCGCAAGAAGCAGCTGCGCAAGGACAACTCGCTCGAGCTCATTCCGGTCTACACCCAGGACCTTGCGGCGTCGACGGCGTCTGCGGCTCAGGCCTTTACCCTCGAGCTCGCCATGGACGCCTTTCCGCACCCGATCTCGGCCGTCGAGACCCACGGCGACTCGCTGCTCTTTGGCACGCCCGAGGGTCTTTACATCTCGGCCATCGGCTCGCTCGAGTGTCACAAGGTGGTCAACATGCCGTCCATCTCGCAAATTGTCGTCTCACCGACCACCGACTCGCTCCTGGTCCGGACCAACAAGCTCATTGTGGCACTCTCGCTTTCAGCTGTCCTCGCCGGCGACTCGCCGGGTGTCGCCGTGGTCCCGGCGCGCAACCCGTCGGCGGTCGACGTGGCCACCATTGGCGAGACCACGTTCATTGCCGCCGTCCAGTGCTCGGCTGCCGGCGCCTCGGCCACCGACGGCTCGTACTCGCTCGAGGTCTTCCATGCTGCTTCTGGTGACATCACTCTCGCAAAGTCGGTCCCGCTCCGCGGCGCGCCGACGGCCCTGGCCATCGTCCCGTCGCTCCGCGGCGCGCTCATCGGCCTCGACCTGGACTTTGTCTTTGTTCCTTTCACCAACTACTTCTCCATGCCGGTCTGCACCCTCGCTACCACCAAGCCGATGCGGACTCGCCTGCTGAAGCTCCCCGATGACGCCATTGCCGGCGCCGGCGCCGCCGACCGTGCCTCGCTCGACTCGGCCGCTGTCGCCAGACTCCTCGCCGCCGACGCCCTCACTCCCTCGGCGGCCCACGGCGTCTTTCCGCTCGCAGACTCGGGCGAGACGCTCCTCTGCTACGACACCTTTGGCGTTGTCCTCAAGTCCGATCTCCAGCTCGACCGCAACCGCATCTTTGAGTGGGTCTCGCCGCCTGTCCACTACTTTGTGGCATCCAACGCCCTCCTCGTCGTCGTCTATCGCACCTTTTCCGAGGTCTACTCGCTCCGCAACGGCTCATGCATCGAGTCGCATCTCGTCACCTCGCCTGCAGAGTACTTTTGCCGCGGAAACTCGCTCTACCTGCCGTCATGGGAGCCGCTCACGTCCACTTGCTCGCTCTACCGCCTCCTGCCCAAGCCCTCGCCGTTCCTCGCCGCCAGTGCAGGAAACGCGCCCCCACCCCTCGCGCGGGCGTACTCCCGCTTCCCGGCACAGCAGTCGAGACCTACGCCTCGGTCGGCGATTGCGACTCGCTGCCGGATGTTGACCAGCTGAAGAGACCGAGCGGCGCCAAGCCGACGACCGTGGCTGACAGGCTTAAGGCCCGCGCGCCACCTAAGCGGACTCGCTCGGCCTCGGTCTTTGACCGAGTCTCGATGTTCCAGACAAAGGCCGAGGCCGCAGCCTCGATGCAGGCCCAGCCCAAGAAGCCTACCGCCGCACCGCCTGTCGCTTCGCCGCCGCTCAACAAGTCGTCGTCATCGCCGTCGGACCTGGCCTCCAAGCTCGAGGCCGCGCGCGCCGCCGCCGCTGCCGACACCGCAGGCGGCTCTGCCGCCGCCCGGACCGTCCCACCGCTGGTGCCGTCGGCGTCGGCAGCCTCAGTCGTGCTGGCCAAGCCGTCGTCCAAGCCCACCACTACCCAGCCGTCTTCGCCGTCGTCGCCGTCGTCGCCGTCGGCCTCGTCGTTTGCCTCCAAGCTCGAGCGCTTCAACTCGGAGGCCGCGCCGGCCCGGGTCCAAAAGGCCGCGCCGCCCGGACGCATCTCCAATGCCTCGCGCCGCCGCGACTTCCGCTCGCGCCGCCAGCAACTGGCAGTGGCCAAGACCACACGGTCGGCCTCGTCGTCACACGCCCACACTGACGCAGCTGCTGCTGCCTCGTCCTCGGCCGCCTCTTCGCGCCAAGCAGAGCGCCAGTCCAAGCGCGCCACCATCAATGACGCCGACGCCTACGACATTGACATCGAGTCGCTCACCTCCAAGTGGGAGAGTATGGGCATGATCTCGTGATAAACAAGTCCTCCCCTCAAAAGTTGACAAAGACTTGCACTGTTGTAAACTTTAGTCGTCGTTGCGGCGAGTGCGACTCGCCCGAGTTTCTGTGTGCCCTGCGACGAAAGTGTGCCGTAACGTCGCCGCATGGAACGTTTTCGTTCCTTACTGCGGAGCAATTCACAACGGACACGCGACATCATCACTTGACTCTGCTACTGCACCCGCCAAGGACCATAGTCAACACCATCATGTCGACTCGTGCCATCCGTAGTCTCACTCTTGCTCGTGGGAGCATCCGTGTCCATCGAGTTGCAAAGCGCTCGATGTTGACGTTTGGCAACGTCTCCAACGGCAACAACTTTGAGCGCAAGATGCGACTCTACGTCGCCAAGGACGACTTGAACCGGTCGGAGAGTATGCGGGCATGTGCCAAGTTGCACCGCGTCGACCACATCAAGGCCTATTATGGCCGCCTTCAGACCAAGATCTCGGTCCCGCTCTGGGAGTCGGCTTGGAGCCCCTCCCGCAACGGCCAGCTCCCTGGCATGGGTGAGACCGTTCTCATCGCTGGAGTTCCTTACAAGGTCATCGATGTTGTAGTGAGCCAGTCTCGTAAGAACTTTGTTGTCACCATGCGGCAGATGGCAGAGGACAGCGCGTTGGTCGATGGCCAGGACCAGACCCCAGCCCCGGTGTCGTCCCCGCCGGTGGTCGAGGTGCCGCAGCGCCCCCATCTTGTTGCCGATGACGACCACGCATTGTTTGCCACCACGCCTGACGGAAGTCAGCATGCGCCAAGCTCGCAGCTGCGCCTACAGCCGTCTTCGCCGGTTGCGACTGTTGCGACCGGCGCAACGACGAGCATCGCAAACGACTCGGCGGCGAGCGGCACGGCTGACGCGCCGATGAGCCGTCGATCGCCCCGCAAGCGGAAGCAGCGTGTGCTTGACAACGTCGCGCCGTCGGTGTGCAAGAAGCGCAAGACCAACCGAGGGCGGCGAGCAGCACCGGCATTTATCTGGCGTGCGGAGCAGGCCGATGTTCTCCGCGATGTCTACAACTTGATTGCCGTTCGCGACCCAAACGTCGAGGAGGAGCGCGACATAGACGATGACGATGTCACTTACGCCGCCGAGCTTCTGGCGATCGCATGTGCCAACGTCGGCTGCGAGGACAACGAGGAGGCGTTCAAGTTCTGGATGCGCCCGACCTCACGCAAGCGCATTCTCAACAAGCTCAAGCGGATCCGTAGCTCCCTGCAGTGGAAGCGCGCCAGCTAGGGTCTCGCGCCGATGTGGAGTACCCTCCAATCATGCTCAACTGCACCCGTACACACCGACATCTCATCTTTGAAACAACATAAATGCACCACCACCACAGTAAGCTAGCTTCTCGATGCGCGACTAGACGATCCCCCCCCCCCCCCCCCCCCCCCCTCCCCCCTTTTCCTGCATGCTCGTAGGATGATCGGTCCAGGCGTTGGGCGGGCGTTGGGCGGGCTTTTGGGCGAATGGGCAAAAAGGCGACTGGGCGACGCCTCGGGTAGAAACGAGGAAAAAAGGCGGGAAACGTGAGCGAAAAATGGCGCGAACGGTAGCGGGTGAATGGTAGAAGGTAGACAAGACGGGGGAAAGGCAAGGAAGGTGGGGGAGGGGGGGGGAAGCCGGGGAAGGGCACGGGCACGGGTACGGACAAGACCTCACTCTGGTTGAAGAGACCAAAAGGGAGGGAGAGAGAGAGTCATTACCCCTTTGGCATGAGCAACAGCATGCGTGTTGTGTGTGGTAGTCGGTGCATCCCCCTCGGTGAGGCCAACCATGTCGTAGGTCATGTCGGAGGTCACCCTGTCCCTGTCTACCTCCATAGCGACTACCAAGCACTCTATGAACAAACTGCGGGTGACATGAACGAACTCGCAGCAGAACTGGTGGATGTGTCGGGTGATAAGGCCATGGACTTGGTCCTCCATACCGGCATTCACCATCCCCTGTACAAGGCCGTGGCCAAGAATGCTACCACCACAGCCGCCAAGACCACCAAGACGGCCAAGACGGCCGAGACTGCCGCCACCACGGCTCGTACCACCACAAACACTTGTTTGTATGGCTCGGCTTCTGCCTCTGCCTCTGCTACAGGATCATTCAAGGTCGACTCGGCCAAGCGGACGTACCCCATCGGCGACTTTTCTTTGGTTGCTACTGGCTCCTCGACCTTGCTCCCGAGCCTGGCTACCTCACGGCTCGTATCTGTACTTCTCCCGCGCCTGGTCCCTCGCCGATGGTGGTGGAAAAATCCGCCGTGAGTATGGCGGGCAAGTCGATGGCCAAGGGTGGTCTCAGCTCAACCTCGACATCATCGGCCATGGCGAGCATCATGCCCGAGCTGCCGCCGACGGTGGCCAAGAAGACCGCACAGCTTGCTCTCTCTCCGCTGGATTGGCTTGCCTCTGCCAGCGTCCTGAACAAGGGCGCTGCCGACGACGGCATTGACGACGCGGGCTTTGTCCGCCGCTCCACCCGCAAGCGCAAGCTGGCGACCGACGACGACGGCGACGACGCCGGCCGGCCTGGTGATCGTGCCGGCAGCGACGACGACGACGAGACTGCCAGCGAGCCGCCGGCGGTCAAGAAGCACAAGGGTCTTGCAGCCGCTGCCGGTAGCAGCGACGCCGAGGCGCCGGTGACCAAGGCCAAGGCCAAGTCGAAGGCCAAGGCCAAGGCCACGTCGAAAGCCAAGTCCAAAGCCAAGTCCAAAGCCAAGTCGCCGTCCAAGACGTCGGCCAAGAAGGTCAAGCCGACCAAGACAAGCCGCAGCAAGGCGACCGGCAAGACCAAGGCGAGCGGCAAGACCAAGGCGAGCGGCAAGACCAAGGCGAGCGACAAGAAGGGCAAGGGCAAGGGCAAGAAGGGCAAGGGCAAGAAGGCGGCGTCGCGGTTCCGGTTCGAGCCCGAGCACGTCGAGCTGTTCAAAAAGTACTACTTCAAGTCGTTTAACCCACGGTACGCCGTGTCGGACGCCATTGTGGAGGCCATGGCCAAGTTTGTGTCGACCAAGATCGGCAACGACGAGCTGCCGTACACCAACAAGCAGATGCGCGGGTGGATCACCTCGTTCCGCCGCAAGCAGGAGATGGGCGCGTAGTCCCCTCCTTTGACCCTAAACGGTACGGTCGTTCGGACGCGTTGTCGCGCGCGTCTCAAAGTGAACAACTCGATGATGCTTGACTTCCAGCTCACCAGCCGACGCCGTGTCACGCCTGCTTGGCCTGCGGCTTGAGGTGGGAGGCGCGCCCGCACGTGATGGCGGCCGACACGTAGACCCCTGCCTGAAAGATGCCCGAGTTGCCGTCGCGGTGACGGACGCCTGGGAGCATGGGCGGCGCGCGAGGTGCCGTACCGACGACCGGGAAGGAGACCATCAGTGAGTTGAACACAGCGGCCGGACGGGAGAGCGCGAGGACGTTGTGGATCTTCTTGCGACGGACGAGCTTGCCGGTCGGCGTGGCCGATGCCGACATGAGGAGCGAGGACATGAGGCGGAAGCGCGCGAGGAGTATCGGGTGCTCGACGTCCTCGCCGAGGCCGACGACCGCCTTGCTCGTGCCCCACTCGGTGAACTTGGTCGAGAGCTTGGGGTCGCCCTTGGCGATGAGCGAGGCGACGATGTCGGCAATCGACACCCGTCGGTGGTCGTTGGGCTTGGGCTTGTAATCGCCGGCGATGACGACCAGGCAGTTGGCCAGCGAGAAGGGTGCGAGCTCGCGGGGGAGCTTCTTCTCGGCAAACTCGGGCGCCGTCGAGCCCTTCTGCTGCCCGTACTTGGCGCGCTTCGGCGACGGGCGCCGTGCGCACGCCTTATCGCCACGCGCCAACTGCGCGTTGACTCTGAGCATCGTGAGAACCTTGTCAAGGACGAGCATGTCGCGCGACGCGAACGCGCCGGCGAGCGCCGAGCTGATGTCGAGGACGTCCGAGAAGACGCCCGCGACCGAAAAGTCGACAAAGACGTTGGGGAGCGTACCGTCGACGACAAAGCCCGAGTCGGCGAGCGAGGAGACGTCGTCCAGCGTCGGCGCCGCGCACGGGAGCGTTCCGTCGGCGAGCGCGGCCTTGAGGTCGGCAAATATGTCCACTCTGGACCGTATAGGGTTAAACACCAGTTGTTTCGCTACTACTGCCCAGAGGCAGCGGCTTTAAGCCAGTGGGCGGGTGTACTCTGAGCGCGACTCGGGCCGTGGCCCGCGGTCTGTAAACGGCGTGGTCGTGGCTGGAGTGGAGCCTGTGCGCGAGGCGCGTGACGAGGCGCGCGAGGTGCGCGAAGTGGGGCGCGAGGTGGGACGTGACTTGTTGCGCGAAGAGGCGCGCGAGGCGCGCGATGAGGCACGCGACGACCGCGACGGCGCGTCGGGCACCACGTTGGGCCGCTTGAGTAGGCCCTCGGGCACGCGCTGGAAGCGGGCAGACTCAGGATTGAACTCGGGCGTCTCGATAAACTGAAGGAAGAGGTTGAGGAGACGCTTTCGGAGGCCGGCGAGCGAGGCCGGCGAGCGGCCGCGGTTGAGGAGGTCGGCCTCGCGGTCGATGAGCTCGACAATGTCGCGGGTGAGGTCGCAATCGAACTCCTTGACGGTCCACTTGACGTGGAGTAGCACATCGAGGCGTTCGTCAAGGGTGAGGTGTGTGAGGCCAAGGCCATGGTACAGGTCGCCGAGCTCCTTGGCGCGGATGGTGAACGGGGTGTGGACCGAGGCGACGGAGCCGTCAGAGAGGCCCCAGAGCTTGGGCTTTGCCATGAGCGAGAGCGTTGCGTCGATACGGGCCTCGCGGTTCTCGATGTTTGCAGTGTTCCGCAGCCGGTCGATGGTCTGCAGTAGCTTGGTCTCCTTGGCGAGGAGGTCGGACATGGCGCGCTGGCGCTGGTCAGGAGTGAGCTCGGTGGCGTTGATTTTTGCGATTTCTGCGAGGCGCCAGGCCTCGAGCTCGTTGTACAGCAGCTCAAAGTCCTTGGCGGTCCGCGGGTGCATGCGGCGTTCGATCTCAACCTGGCGGACGATCTCGGCCTCGCGGAGGCGCTCAGCCTCCCGGGCGGCAATGATTTGGCGGCGCTCCTCGAGCTCGGCGCGGAGCTTGCGGGCGAGCTTGCGGGCAAAGAAGCCGCGGACGTACGACTGGATCTTGGTTGCATACTCGATGCGCATCTGGACGACCTCGTCGGCGGTCACGTACTTGCCGCGGGTGAGGACGCGATCGTTGCGGTCGTCGACATACACCGACGACGTCGTCATCTGGGTCCCGGCCTCGCGCTGCGACTGCGTCCCGTGGCTCACCACCTTGACGGTCTGAGTTTCACGCGAGAACTTGACCGACGGCTCTTTGTACACCTGTTCCTCGCTCGGCCCATCGACCTGCGTCGAAGCGTTGTGGAACTCGACACCGGTGATGCGGTGGCGGAAGCCGCCGAGGAACGGCTTGCGGGCCACCATCGAGCGGTCGATTGGGCAGTGCGCCGTCGGCTCATCGTTGCTTGCGGCGGCGGCAGGATCCACCACCGGGACGGCGAGAACGGTGAGCGCGACCTGCGGTGTCGAGTTGGGCTCGATGCCGACCTCAGAGAGCGTTGCGGCGTTGGGGAGCGACTCGCCGCCGTAGGCCAGGGTCAGCTCGGCAGCGCCGAGATCGAGCTCCTGGCGGAGCATGGCTTTGACCTCGGCAACCCGCGAGCCAACGCCGACGACAAACCGGCAAGAGTAGCCTGCGGGGAGGACAAGAACCGAGAGGGTAGCTGGCGGAAGGAGCGCCTCGGCCTCGACCGCCATCTCGCGCTCTACCATGACCGACACCTCGTCATTCGTGATGGCCACCCGCTCACCGCCTCGCAACACCGTCGCCGCCACCTCGGCTCGCCCACCGCATCAACCTCGAGCGCCTTGTTCCCGTCACGCATGGCACCCGGGGCCGACTGGGCACGGTCGTCGTCATTGGCGCTGTGCACGTGATCCGAGCTAACGTCTGTGTTCTCGACCGAGTTGATGTCTGTGTTCTCGGCCGATTTTGCGTCTGCATCTGCGTCAGCATCTGCATCTGCGTCTGCGTCTGCGTCTGCGTCTGCGACGGCGTCGTCGACCGAGTATGCGTCTGCGTCTGCGTCGTCGGCGTCATCGACCGAGTTTGCGTCGACCGAGTTGGTGCTCACGACCGAGTTGCCCACCGAGTCGTCGGCCATAACCTCCTCTGCCTCCTCCTCAACCAGTTTGTTGCTCTCGCTCATGTCGCTTCCAGAGCCGTCCACGTTCTCGTCCTGCCCCGCCATGTCGCCGTCGTCGCCGTCGCCGTCGCCGTCGCCGTCGTGGTCGTTGCTGTTGTTGCTGTTGTCGTTGTTGTCGTTGTTGTTGTTGTTGTCGTCTTTGGCGAGCAGCTCAGCGGCAGCCTCCCCACCCCCCCCTCCACCACCCGTCAAGGCATGGGCAGGAACAGCTGCTACTCCCTCGTCCTCGCTACTCATCCGGGTCTATCTTGCTGAGAGTAAGGTGTGTTCCCCCGTTGCCCCCCCCCCCCCCCCCCCCCCCCTCGGCCAAACGGCTGACTCTGGGCGTTGAGCAGCGAACGGTTGCTTGGCCGCTCTCGCCGTTTTGGGGCTATTGCCATGAGTTCCATTGTGGTCAGTCGTGCATCATTAATTCCATCGTGGTTAGTCGTAGTTTATGGTTGTCGTTGTGGTTAATCGTGCATCATTAATTCCATCGTGGTTAGTCGTAGTTTATGGTTGTCGTTGTGGTTAATCGTAGTTTATGGTTGTCGTCGTGGTTAATCGTAGTTAATGGTTAATGGTTGTCGTCGTGGTTAATCGTAGTTTATGGTTGTCGTCGTGGTTAATCGTGGCTCATCAACAGTGGCATTGCGCGCCCAGCCCTATCTATTCAGCCGGCTTTCTCTCTCTCTCTCTTATCCCTCTTGCGTGCGTTTTACGGCGCATCACTCGCTCCCGGCAAACAGGCGCCAAACCCGATGAGGCACGGCGCGTGCGGCACGGGAGCTCAGCGAGTGAACCAGGATGAGAGCCATGCTCCCGACGTAGATGGCACACATAGTGCCGTTGATCACCACCAGACCCCAAGCCACCGCTTGGGCGTCCCACGCTGAGCTGCTGGCATTGGCAGCCTCGTTGGCGAGCACGATGCCGCCAACGTACGAGAAGAGCGTCAGCGAGATGCTTGCCTGCTCAAGCGCGTTGTTGGCGCTGGTGGTGAACGGCCGCACTGCACCTTGCAGCCAGGAGGCAGAGCCCAAGACAGCCACCACGCTCAGCGGAAGAAATGGCGAGCCAGCGTGGACGAGCGAGACCAGCGCAGCAAGTGCAAGCCGCCGCCCAAGGATCGCAACGTCAAAGTACCACGCCCGCGCCCGGAACGTCTCGTACACAAAGCCGAAGCGCACCTCAAACTGCTCCACCGCGGCGTGTCCCACAGTCTCGGGCGTCACGATGGCTGCGCGGTGCCGCCATAGATACGCCACCAGGCACGTCATGGCGACACCGTACACCACTAGCCACCCGAGAGACATGAACATCCACCCATCCCAAACACACTCGACCCAAGGCTCGGTCGCTGAGAACCGTTTGGTCGAGCCCGGCACAGGATCCGGAAGGCAGGTAAACCGCTCGAGCGAGACCGTTGTCAGTTCCATAAACACCACGTAAAAGACAAATACAACCGCAGAGAGAACTCGATCCCAGGTCTGGCTGGCCACGGCCGTGACGGTGTCCTTGTCGCGGCTGGTCAGCCAGGCTACCGCGATGCGGCACACTCCAAGCACGCTGAGCACAAGTGCAAAGCCGAGCGGAAGCGAGACGACAACCAGGTACTTGCCGTTGTACTCAAACGCCGACGAAAAGCACTCCAGGCCCTCCGCCCGGATCCCGACCGTCGAGAGCTGCCGCCGGAGCGCCACAAGCGTCGCCGGCCACGCAAAGGTCGAGCCGAGCAAAAGCTCGGTGGTCTGGATAAAGACAAGGAACGACTTGAAGAGCCCCGCGAGGCTCGCCAGCCCGTCCTCAGTCCCGAGCATCGGCCGAGCGACTGCTTCTCCGGCCGCCTTGCGGAGCTCCTGATACTTGGCCGACGCGAGGTAAAGCGTGACAAAGAGGAGCGCAAGCAGGACCAAGAATACGTCCTCCATCGACGAGGCGTCGATGGTGAAGAGCACCACGAAGAGGAGGACCTCGCTGAGCGAGAGCGCCAGGTACGGCCACATCAGCCCGAGCATCGTTCGCCAGGTGACTGGCCACGCCACGCTACCATGCCGCTCGGCTGCGCCCATCAGAGGGCTGGCAGCATCGATGCTGTTGACGCTGCTGTGAAGCCCATCCTCGGCGCGAGAGCCGCTTTGCGGGTCGACGCTCTGAGCGGATCGCCCGCAGACAACGACAATCATGACAGCGAGGACGAGGACAGCGACAGCCACAAAGAGCGTAGTAAACGCCTTGTTGCACTCGATGCACTCACCGGCGGTGTTGGCATACCAACCGTCGTCGCACCGGGTACAGAGTCGGTCGCGGTAGCCGGACGCGCAGAGGGCATCAGCGGAGCACTCGACTGTGCCCGTGGTGCGATAAATGTGGCAGACCGCTTCCCCGTCGACATTGCAGTGGGCTGTCCCGTACTCGACGTTCTCACACGGTAGCACGTAGAGCTGCTGGCCGGACTCGGTGACCGTGGGCCAGTGGCCGCGGGCAATCCGAACCTGGGTCGCCGTCAGCTCCTCGATGCAGGTGTCGGAGCCGCCGGGCGAGAGGAGGCAGATGTCGTTGGTCGATCGGCACGGCGGATTGCCATTGACAAGGCCGAAGTAGCCGCGAGCACACAAGCAGAGCGCATAGTCGTAAAACGCGGGTGAAATAGAGATGTGGGCCGACGGCTCATGGGTAGCGGTCAGGTCTGGGCAGCGATACGGGGCCGGCGAGACCTCTTTGCCCCCAGGAAAGTACTCGGTTGTCTCGGCGGTGGAGATAAAGTTGGGAAGCGGCGGGAGAAGGCGATTCGTGTACGCCAGTCGCGAGTACACTTGAGTTCCCGAGAGGTCGAGGTATCCGAGTGGACCGCCGAGCGCCGGTGCAAACGAGCGAGGAAGCGTGCTCCGGATCGCTCTGTTGCCCGCGAGCGAGAGGAACATCATGTTGTTGGGAATGATGAACGAGGGCAGCTCACCGGTCAGCGCGTTGTTCTCCAGGCTCAAGTACATAAGCTGCGGGGCATACTCAAAGATGGGCCCGTCGACAAAGGCGCCGGTCACGTTGCATTGATCCATCTTGAGCAGGCCAAGCTTGATGTACGTTGTTGGCGTTCCAAACCGGCTTGTTCCGCGCGAGAGAAACGTGATGCCGCTCATGTCGGCGAGAATCTCAACCCACGGCTGGCCGCCAAAGTCGTTGAATGAGACATCGAGGCCAGTCAGTGCTGGGAGCTTGTGGTAGAGATCGAGGCGCGCGTGCGAAAAGGCGTTGCCGCGAAACGAGGCAAACTGGAGCGTCGTCGAGCTTGGGTACTCGCCAGAGAGGGCGTTGGACGAGACGTCGAGCGAAATGAGCGAGATCGCGTTGGTGACGTCAGGGACAGCACCCGAGAACCGGTTGGCGCGAGTCCAGAAGACCTGAAGCTTGGGCAGATCGAGCGCAGGTGGGAGGCTGCCCGAGAGCCTGTTGTTCGCAACAATGAGTGTGACGAGCGAATCTGCGATGTGATCAAGCTGCGGAAGGCTGCCCGAGAGCTGGTTGTCGCGCAGATCTAGGAACGCGAGCTGGGTGTGGCCGACGGGCGGGATGGTGCCTGTGAACCCGTTTTCGGCGAGTGAGATAGTGTTGAGGAGCGGCGGAAAGTCTGGAATGGCGCCGGTAAGCCCGCATGAGGTCACGGCAATGTTAGCCAGATTGGCCGGGAGCGCCGGAAGCGTGCCTGTGAGCTCGTTATTGGAGAGCAAGACGAATGAGAGTTTCGAGTCTGGGGCAAACGGCGGGATAGTGCCTGTGAGCGAGTTGTTGGAGGCGAGAAAGAGTGACATCGACGGATGTACAAAGAGGTTGGCGGGCAGGGTACCCGTGAGAAAGTTGTTCTGCAGCGCCACCATGTACAGCTTGCTATTCGCGCCAAAGTCAGGCAGGGTGCCTGTCAGATTGTTGGCGTCGAGCGTAAGCGTCTCCAGCCGCGGGAGCTGACTAAGGTCCGGGATGGTACCCGAGATGTCGTTGTACGACATGGAAAAGTACTTGAGATACGGCAGCGCACCGAGCGGCGGGATGCTTCCGCGGACTGTCGAGTACGAGACGTCAAAGTCGACGATGAACTGCAGACTGCCGATGGCGGGCAGCTCCGAGTCCCACGGGTTGAGCTGGCCATCAAAAGTGTTGAGAAAGGCAAACTCGTCGATGCCGTCGAGCGAGACCAACGAGTTGTTAGCAACAAGAAGAAATGCCATGTACGGCAGATCAGCAGCCATGGACTGCCAGTCCACCTTGCCAGCCATAGTGTTGTTGAAGAGGCGGAGGCCGACGACATGCCACAGCTGATCATCAAGGACAGTGCATGCCACGCCGAACCATGACCCATCACAAGGATCCTGACTCTCACCCCAGCCGGTTGCGTTCAACCAGCGGCCTTGATGGCCGCCAGTTTCCTCAAAGAACGCCATCAGTCCCCTGAGCTCATTCTCAGCCGCTGAATCTCGAGTGACGCGGATGTGATGAAGCGGTGGCGATTGATCGGGACGACTCTTGCCGCGTGCAGCCTCCAGTGCGTTATCTCCATACCAATCGCTAGCACTGCCATCATCTAGTGTGACACCAGCATGGTCATCACCAGTTCCCTTGATCACACCTCGCACGTGCCTTCTGCCAGCTCTTCTTGCCCACGCCACATCGACAGCTTCTGCCGCCAACCCAACCTCGTCCAACCTGGTCTCCGTACCACTCACCACGACCAGTGAGGTGGCCACCACTACCAGTAACATGATGGATGCCACCACCATAACCAGCTCGACTCGGCCCATAGGTTGGGATGATGTGGTGGAGAGAAGTGCTGGCGGTGGCGGTGGTAGTGGCGGTGACCGGTCGCGTGTGTGAGTTGGGCGTGCGTGACAGTCGGCCGAGCGCCGGGATGTGATGGCGAGGGGCGCACAAGCTTGGGCGCGCGGGAGTGCTGTCGGGCAGGTGCTAGATCAGGCCAGATCAAGCTGTTCTTGCGAGGGTGTGGGGGGTGATGCGTAAGATCATATCTCGATATGTGTGAGTTGGGCGTGCGTGACAGTCGGCCGAGCGCCGGGATGTGATGGCGAGGGGCGCACAAGCTTGGGCGCGCGGGAGTGCTGTCGGGCAGGTGCCAGATCAGGCCAGATCAAGCTGTTCTTGCGAGGGTGTGGGGGATGATGCTTAAGATCGTATCTCGATATGTGCGACTCTTGCCTAGATCAGACGCGGCGGGCGTTGCCATGGACATCCGATGGCGGACTCGCGAGTGTGCGCTGGACCAATGCGCGTGACTGATGTCGCCGCCAGTGCTGGGCCCTGTCCATCTAACGGTGACGCTAGACTGAACACAGAGTGATCGAGTGCCTCACGATGAGTACACGTGCCAAATTGCGTGGAGTGATGTGGTCAATCCGTGATGTAGATCCGATCGACGCGCTGCTGAGCCTTCCTTCCATTGTGCTCGGCTCGAATCAGTTCTCTGGCGTCACCCACTGCTCTCCCCGCCTCACCTATGGCGGCTTCCAACTCATGGACTGCCGCACATGCGACGAAAAGGACGTACGAGCTCGAGGTAGCTCCCGATGGCCGACAAGGAGCCGGATTGGCGACCGACCCGGCGACCGAGCGGTTGTTTGTCTTTGGCGGTCGATGCTCGCGCCGTCCTGGCGTCGACGACTGTCGCCGACGCCTGACAAACGATCTCTGGGTCCGGAGCAGATCTGGCGATTGGACGCAGCTTTGGGAAGGAGATGATGTGTGTGCAGGAGATGTGTCCAAAGACATGGATACGGCGTCGCTTGGTCGAGGCGATGGACCTGTTGTTCGTCACAATCATGCGCTTGTCTTTGTAGCCGCTGGTCATGACGTGCCGGGCGTCGACAATGGTGACATTCTCCTTGTCATCGGAGGCTCGACGCATTGGGCATACTTGGGCGATGTCTGGGTCTTTGACTTGAAGACGGGATCGTGGACGCAGATGATTCCAGGCGGTCCAGGCCCTGTAGCCCGGCACGGCCACGTCGCTGCGCTCGTCGGCTCGACGGTGGTGGTGTTTGGTGGCCACTCAGGCATGCAGTCACGCCCATCCACCCTCACTTACTACAACGATGTCTTTTCCTTGGATCTGACGTCCTGGAACTGGACGCGCTGTGCGACCACGCTCAGCACGCCGCGCTCCTGGATGGGCGTCGCGGTCGTCGGCGCGCTTGTTGTCGTCGCGGGCGGGTACACCTTTGACGTCACTGCGCGTGACGAAGTCTACTTTGACGTCATCGAAGCCTATGATGTGGCCAACGATGTCTTTCTCTCCCTTCCTCCCGATGTTACACTTGCCTCTCCCCGCAATCGCGTGTGCATGGCATCGTGCGCCTCGACGATCGTCATCTTTGGCGGCAACGCGCTTCTTGCCGACCGCGGCGATGTTTTCTTCTCGGACATCGCTGTTCTCGACGCTTCGTCAACATGCGTGTCGAACTGGACGCTCTCTGTTGCCAGTCCTCCGACTCCACCGCTCAAAGGTCGCGGCCACGGGTTGATGCTCATTGCACCCGCCGCATCCACCTCGTCGGGCGCGATGGCGCCCCTCCATGTCACTGTTTGGGGTGGAGAGCGTGCAGGCGCCCGTCTCTTCGACACGCTCGATCTCGTCCTCTCACCGCACCCGATCTAGCAGAGTCAGCCGTGGCAGGCGCCGCCCGCGGCTACTTTGCTGAAGCGATGACGGTCGTAGAAACCCGTAGCGTACCGATCGAATATACATACGCTGCAATCTAGCGCCCTGCCTACATGTGTGTGTGTGTGTGTGTGGCTATCTCTGAAGCTGTTTCAGGCGTGCGGTAGAGGCTGTGCAATGATGTGCAATGAGAGCAGGCGACGGTTTCGGCCGACCTGTCAGGTGACAGGCGAACTCGAGCACAACGACGAGGTGATGGCAGCGCATGCAACGGGGCATGTTCCGGAAGGAAGCAGCAAAGAGACGGCAACCCGACTGGCAAGCGAGCTGGGTGAGGTCATGTCGGAGAGGGCCGCCGCCGAGGGAGTGACAGTTCAAGTCGTCGATGACAACCTCCGACATTGGCATGTTCGACTTGCGGACTTTGACTTGGAATCACAGCTGGCGCAAGATCTGTTTCTCTACGATTCGGCCCGACCCGGAAGGGATCATGTACTGCTTGAGGTCATCTTTCCGCATCGGTATCCAGGACGTCCACCCTTTGTTCGTGTTGTCTATCCGCGCTTTCATCAGTGGACCGGCCACATCACGTCGGGAGGATCAGTATGCGTTGAAGAGCTCACGCTCTCGGGCTGGACCTCCGACTTTATGCTCTTGCCCTTTCTGATCATGATTCGGAACGTGCTGCTGGAAGGCGGAGCGCTCATTGACATGGATCGCGCCGGCGACGACTACACGCAGGCCGAGGCCGAGGAGGCCTTTATCCGGGTTGCCAAGGCACACGGGTGGATCACATGAACGGTTCTCCCTACCCTACCCTCCCGGCTCCATTACGCGCCACTAGGCTGCCGCCCATCGCCCATCGTCCGCCGCCTGCAGCTCCATCCACCCATCGCCCATCGTCTGCCGCCTTTCCTCCCCCTGCGCTCAGCCGCCCGATCACCAGCGTCCTCCCTCGCCCTCGCCATCGCACTCGCCCTCGCCACCTCCTCCCCAACCTCGCCCTCGCCACCTCCTCCCCAACCCCCCCCACTAAACAAACCCCCATCTCCTCAGCCATCTCAATCACACGTCGCGCTCCCCCACTGCGAACTCTCCGCCGGCTGGCCAACCGCTCAGCCGCCCGCTCCCCCCCCCCCCCCCTCACCCCTCCCCGACGACGACGACAACTGCCGACGACCACGCCACGCCACTCCACGTCGACAGCGACTATATGGGGTCCAACCTCTCCCGTCGGCTGGCAGCTGGTGAAGAGAGTGGCTCTATTGACCTTCGTGGACTCTCGCTCTCTACCATACCTGGCAAGGTATGGTCGTTGACCCATGTCGTCCGCTTGCATCTTGGGTGGAACTCGCTCAAGACACTGCCTCATGCACTTGGTGATCTTCCATCACTCGCTGTTCTCTATCTCAATCATAACTCGTTCTCCATATTTCCTCGTGCTCTCCTCAAGTGTACTCGCTTGCGTCGGCTCTATCTCAACTCGAACGCTCTCTCATCGCTTCCTGATGAACTGGGTGATCTCGTCTACCTCAAAGTCCTCGCCGTCTCGGACAACTACCTCACAACTCTGCCTCCTTCGGTCTGCAAGCTCAAGCTTCATGAGCTCTACTTGTCGCAAAACAAGTTTGAGTTGCTTCCCGAAGCGCTCGGCGCTCTCACAGACTTGCGCACCCTCGCCGTCGCTGGTAACAACCTCAAGGCGCTGCCCTTTGCCGCTCTCCTTCGCCTGCATGATCTCAAGGCCATGCCGCGCGACGGCAATGTCGACCTCGGTGAGCTGGCCTCCATGCCGCTGCGCGAGCTCATGGTCTTTATGCGCAAGTCCGTCACCTCGCACCACCGCCACATGCACGACTCGTCGTCGTCGATGTGGCGGACCCGCTCGTTTACCGAGGCCGACCTCGCCCATCTCGGCTCCGAATCGGAGACTGACTCGGGCGACGACAACATGGATCCGGTCGTGGTCAAGCGCCGGCGCAAGGCCAAGGAGGTTGTCGGCGCCAAGGGCTCGGTCGAGGGTCTCAAGAAGCGGACTCTGGCCGAGATCATGGAGGCCGCCAACCAGCTGCCGGGCGTCGAGTCTTCGCTGCACCCGCTGCTGCCGCTGCCCGAGCCAGCCACCGCTGCTGCCGATGAGCTTGCCTCCGCCGAGCCGGCCCATCCGGCGTCGGCGCTCGCGGCTCGCCCGCGGCAGAAGCGGCTCTCGACCGCGTCGGTGGCGTCGTCGCGCGCCTCGACCGCCACCGGCTCAATGCCGCCGGCCATCGCCCGTGTCGCCCGTGGCCGCTCGGCCTCCATCTCTTGTGCATCGACTGCAAGCCCGCTGTTGGGCTCGGCAGGCGGGACAGAGGTGGGCGGTGACGAGTCTGCCGGCGCGCTCTCGCAAAAGGGTTCCTTCTACCGCAAGTCGTCCAAGCTGATGAACACCGAGGACGTTGTCCGCACCATGCGGGTTCTCCTCGACGAGTCCATGGTTCACAACACCGAGCTGATGGAGAAGCTCGGCAAGGTCGAGTCTCTCCGCGGCGAGGAGCGCTCGCAGTTCAAGGACACCCGCCACACCCTTCGCACCCGCATCGCCGCCGGCGAGGAGCGTGTCGCCAACTTACTCAAGGCCATCAACTCGCTCCGCGGCTCGGGCAAGGTCCCGCAGCCAACGCCCACCCACTATTCTGAGCCCGACGGCTATTCGGCCTCGCTCCCCCGCAACGACTCGCTCTCGGCCGCCCATCACCCGGACGACGACCCCATGCTCAACTCGCGCCTCGTCACCCCAGCGTCGGGCCTCTACTCGCGATCGTCGCTCCAGTGGGCGCCGCCGACATCTCCCAACCGCCGCCACACATCAACCCGCATCCCGGCCCCAAGTTCGCGTCTGCGGACCAGCCTGCGGACCGGCCCTCGCACTGGCCCTCGCCCAACCTCGGCCTCGGCCTCTCTCTCCAGCCACTCTCGTCCCCGCTCTTCTGCCCGCGCTCGTCGTCGCCATCCGCCACGCCGTCGCCAGCCGCCGACATGAACTCCTCCCTCTCTGCCTGCCTGCACACCTTGATCGGCCTCATCCAAGCGCCAATCAGCCTCTCCCGCCCCGCTGCCGTGTGACAGCCGACCACCAAACCTGCCGCCCCACCGCCCCCCCCTTCCCCCCCTCCTCCACGCCTGCGCCCACCACATCCCTTACAACCTATACCCGTCTCCAACCCCACTGGCTGTACGCTTCCCTTTCCCCTCCCCCCCCCTTCCCCTTCCCATGCACCCATTGCAAGCTACCTACCTCGCCAACCTCTACCTCGCCACCCCCATATACACTTACTACCTTTTCTTGCCCCTCTACGTTCGCCTACTCCCCCCTTCCCCCCCTTCCGTCCCCCCTTGGCAATGCTTCTGTCGTGGTGTTCGATGGGCTGGTCCTGTGACACGGTCTGTTCTGATCAACGTGGCTTTGATCAAACACCGGCGCCCGCCTACCCGCCCCCCCCCCCCCCCGCCTCCCCCCATCACGACATGTGACAGATGCACCTTCGCCGGGCATATCAACCACGAGAGGTTGTCTTTCTTGAGGATCGTGCCGACAATGAACGGTATCTCAAGTCGTACTGGGCCTCACTGGACATGGCCATCACCACCGACTCGGCCAACCCTACCAACCATCTGGCCAATGCGCTGGAACACCTGGAACGTGCTGTGGCCGAGGTCGAGGCTGGAGAAGGCGAGACGGTCTTCTCGCGGGTCTTCTTCAACTATGCCATGCCGCTGCTCGCTCAGACGCTGCTTGAACGGACATACCCAGTGCCGGCGTGGATGGTGGCCGCGCTCGACTTTGAGCGTCGCATCGCCCAGGTTGTTGTCGCCGCTCTCAAGGCCGGGACCGCCACTGACAAGATGGTTCGCGCTCTCCGGCGGATGGTCACTTCGTCGATGGAGTTTTACGAGGAGCACGGGACTGTCGACGACACCGACCACCTCCGGGTCCTGTACTACCCCGAGGGAGCGCCTCCTGCGCCCGAGGACGCTCCCAAAGTTGTGGACGAGGCCGAGGCCGAGGCCGACCCGCCGCTCACACCCGAGCAGCTCAGCCTCACGGTTCCGCCGGAGTTTGTGACACTCTCGCCGACTGACCACGCGACGTCGATCTTTCTTCTTGATGCCATTGAGACGCTCGGCGGGCTCGGCCTCTTTGACCATCTTGTGGCGGCACTTGGCGCCGACGAAGCACCGCCTGTCGACGGCGATGGCGACGACGCTCAACCGGCAGTGCCCAAGCTCGCATCGTCGACCCTGACTGCGATCTGCCGGGTTGTCGGCCTCTGCGCCAAGCACCTTGCGCCGTCGTTCTGGGATCCGTACTCGGCGCAGCTTCTGACCAAGCTGCGACGCCACATCGATGCGCTGCCGCAGGCTGCGCTCCGCGACCAGTCGCTGGTCGACCTCGTCGACTGCCTCAATGTGTTGGCTCGGACTGCGGCGCGCGCCGGAAACCACAAGCTTAACCGCGACATCCAGGCGTACAAGCTGGCGCTGGCGTGGCGCTATGTTCAGCTGCCGTACCTCACCCAGTGTCTGCAGGGCGTGGAGGCCATGCAGCACTTTATCGCCGTGGCCAAGAAGGAGGTCAAGGAGAATTCAACGCTGCGCAAGCCAAAGCAGACCTCTCGCTGGATGTCGGCGACCGGGACGGGCTTTGGCGTCATGTACTCACGCGCCGGCGGGACCGCGTACAACGTCGGCAACTGGTCGCATGCGAGCGCGCAGCAGACGCGCGCAGCCGTCTCGGAGGCGCTGCCGGACCCGCGCTCGACATGGACTACCTGCTTGGCTGGTTCGACGACAACGACATTTTTGCACGGGTCCTCAAGTTTGAGAACGCTGAGGTCCTTGCCAAGGGCTGCGAGATCATTCGCTTTGTTGCCACCCAGCGTGGGCTCACCACGCCCGAGCTCGATGCCATCTGGCACGCAGTCACCACCGTCTTTGAGTCGCTTCAGCTCAAGCTCTTTGAGTTTGTGCTTGACCTGGTCGGCGCAATTCCGTTTGAGCAGGTCTGTCACCTCGACGACAAGCTGTGCGAGCTCCCGCCGTCTGCATTCAACAACCAGGTCCTCACCTTTGTCTCGGACTTTACCCGCAAGGCGCTCGAGGCCGCGGGGGCGTCTGCGCCTGACGCGCTTGACGACGCGCTGCATGACCAGCGGCTCTTTGGCCTGCAGACGCTGTGGGACCTGGTGACCTCGGGTGCGAGCTCGGGCTCGTCCAATGGCACCGTCGCTGAGGCCTGCGCCCACCTGCAGTCGCTGCTCCACGAGTTCCCAGCCCATCGCGAGTACTTTGTGGCCAAGGTCATGGCCAACCTCGAGTCAGGCGTGGCGCTCTCGCCGACGCTGCGCATTCTCATTGATCTGGTCCGCGGCGGAGCCGACGACGAGATCACCCGCGAGTACGTTGAGGAGCTTGACGCACGGTACAACCTTGTGCAGCTTCTAGTCAACGCGTTGAGTGCGGTGTCGAGCGGCGACGAGGCCGAAGGAGTGACCCAGGCTTGCCTAGCTGCGCTCGAGCATGTCATTACCTCTTCGGCGCTCATCCTCTCGGCAGACGCGGCGCTGGCGCTTTGGGACGCACTCGAGGCGCGTGGCGCCGTTGACGCCGCCGCGGGCTGGCTTGCTAGCCTCAACTGCGAGGAGCCTGTCATCGATCCGTACACCGGCGCGGCGTCGTACCCGGCGTTCACCATCGACGAAGCGACAGCGCTGTACAGCTCGCGGGTGCTCCCGGCTGTACGGCGCGACCCGGCTATGGTCTCGCCAGCGCTCTCGGCGCTCTTCTGCACGCTCTTTGCGTTGGTCAACACTAGCTCGAGTGCGCTGCGGAGGTTGACGGCGCCGTTTGAGACCAAGACTCGGTCGTTTGAGGCACTGGTTGGCATCGACGCTCTCGAGGCGCTTGCCCTCTCTGCATCCGACGACGGCGTTGCCAACGATGCGCTGTACATTCTTGCGAGGCTTTACACGCATGTCTCGACGCTGGTGGACGCGCCTGCCGTCGGCGCTGTTCGCAACGCGTTTGTGCGGGCCAACCTGAAGCGGGTGCTCGATGCGGCGCCTGCGCCAGCGCCGCGGCCGCTCTTCCTCGCTCACGCAGTCCTTGTTGCCGAGGCGCAGCACGGTCTTTTTGCGCCGCACGGAGGGCGGGCAAGCGCGCCGCTGGCTGTGCCACCGGCCGAGCATGCAGCGCTTGCCGCCGGAGTCAGCTGCGTCCACGACGCTGAATTGATGGACGCGCTCTTTGGACTTCTCGCCAACGCACCGCTCCGCGACGGCATCTGGTCGCTCCTCTGCGCGCTCCCGACCGAGCCTGCGGTGGCGTCTGCGGTGGCAGCGCCGACGCCCGAGACGCTTGCGCGCGCTCTGGGCGAGGCTTCGCCAGGCGGTACACACTCGGTCTTTCGGGTTCTCTATGGTGTGCTCGCGCTCGAGCACGCGCTCGGCGGCGGCGTGGTGCCGGATCCGCGGGCCGAGGTCGACGCGGCGGGCGTGACTCCGGCGGATGCCGCCGCCGCTGTGACTGCCGCCGACGGCTTTGCGCTTCTCACTCGGCTCTTTACTGCCGACGAACTGCTTGACAAGGGATCCGACGGTTTTGAGTACGGCAAGAAGGCGGCGTCGTCTCTCTCTGCGCTCATCAACTCGCTCTTTGCCGGCGGCGACGTGGAGGTTTCGGCGCTCGACGGTTCGTTTGTGCAGGGTCTTGTCTCGCAGATCCACGAGCTGGCCGGCGCGGCTGGCGAGCTCGCAAAGCCCACCGGGACATCGTCGTCGACTGGCTCGTCGGCAGCGGTGGCGCCGGGCATTCTCTCGATTCGGTCTATGAACGCGGCCGAGGCGCTGTCGGGCACGGTGCGCGGGACGCGGATCGCCAACTGCCACTACGGTGCGACGCAGACGCTGTTTGAGTTTGAGGTGTCCGGTGCGTCATCGTACCGTGTCGCTGTCTACTGCGTCGACTTCAACACCCACCGGCGGCACCAGACGATGCTGGCGTTTGTGGGCGACACGCCCGAGCTCGCCGAGTGCGCGCCGGAGGGCTCGGTAGTCGCGCTTCGCGGGCTCGACTTTCACAACGGGTGCTGGGTGGTGTGGGACGTCCACGCCGAGACCGAGGGCGAGGAGCAGGCGAGCCAGTTTAACTTGCTCATCGACAACGCCGATGCGTCGTCGCCCAACTGGACGCTCTCGGCGTTCTTGCTTGACCCGCTGCCGGCCGACAACATGCGCGAGACCTCACACTACCCAACGCTTGTCGAGATCGACACGAGCTCGCAGGGCCGATGGCACGGGCGGTACGGCTCGGCCGGCGGCGTGCTGCTGGGTCGGGTCGATCTCGAGGTTGAGGCGCGTGTGCCGGGCCCGCGGCTGGTTGCGTTTGACAACGACTCTGCGCTCCGGTACGAGTGGGTGGAGGAGGCAACGTCCGACGAGCGGGCGCTGCAGCCGCCGCCGCCATGCGGCGGCGACATCGAGGTTGAGGCTGTTGAGGCCGAGGATGAGGCGAGCCGGGCGCGCCGGCTTGTGGTTCTTTCGGTTAATGCGCCTGCGGCTCCTGACGGCGATGAGCCTGACGCTGCTGAGCCGGGTACCCCCGAGTCTGGCTCATCCGAGGCCTCGCTTGGAGATGTAGACGCCAGCAACTCGCTGTCAGACGATGATGGCATTCCTGTCCAACAGGCGGTTGTTGTCTCGTTTGGCGACGAGAAGGGCAAGGATGACGACGACGACTCGTTCCTTATCCGGCGGCGGGCCGGGTCGGGCGCACGCCGCAAGAGCAAGAGCAAGACCAAAGTGGCCGGTTCAGGCGGGGCGTGCCAGGCACTGCTGGACATGTTGTTCACGACGCTCGACGCATCGCCGTCGCTTGTGGCTGCGCTAGAAGCAAGCACCGAGCTGGAGGCCTGGCTCGAAGTTGTGCTGGCCAAGTGCAGCGTGGCGGCGATCCGCGAGAGCGCGGCTGCGCGGCTGCCGGGGCTTGCGGTGGTGCACCCGCCGCTGGGCGCGCGGATGATGGCGACGCTGCTGCAGGTGACGCAGCGTGGCGAGGCCGGGCGGGCGAGCGTGGCGTCGTTTGAACAGGCGTTTGAGGTGGTGCTTGCGCTCGCGCGCGACGGGGTGGCGTTTGATACCAGCGCAGCGTTTGCCGCGTGGGCGCGCGACGTGATGGCATTAAGCGTGGTGGAGAGCGATGACGACGAGGCCGTCGACAGCCTGCTCGTGGGCCTCCTCCGCGGGCTCTCGACGTGTCTGCGTGTGGAGCCGGCGCTAGCGAGCGGGGCGGCCGGCGACGCGCTGCTCGACTACGTGTTTGGCGACTGTCTGTTCTCGGTGCCTGCCGACAAGACGGCCAAGGCGGTGCCTGTGTGCAAGAGCTACACGGCGCGCGAGGCTGCGTTTGAGGTTCTCCTCCAGCTCTGCGCACAGGCCGATGGCAAGAGCACTGTACTGATGGAGTCGCTTGCGGACGTACTGGCGGGCGCGGGGCTGCCGGGGCCTGACGAGTGGTGCGTGGATGTTGTGGGCGACGGCGGCGACGGCGACTCGGACTCGGAGTACGGCGGCGAGGTGGAGCGGTTCAAGGGCCTCAAGAACCAGGGCTGCACATGCTACATGAACGCGTCGCTCCAGCAGATGTTCCTCATCCCTGAGCTTCGCGAGTCTATTCTGCGGGTGCCACTAGCGGCGAGCGATGACGAGGAGTCGTTTGCAGGCAACATCATGTGCCAGCTCCAGCTGCTGTTTGCCAAAATGCTCGAGTCGCGGTCGTACTACGTGGACACGATCGACTTTTGCCGGACGGTCTTCCTCAACGGCGAGGTCATCCAGCTCGGGCAGCAGGAGGACGCTAACGAGTTTATCAACTCGCTGGTGGACCAGCTCGAGCCGCATCTCAAGGGCACACCTGAGGAGGCGGTCTTTACCAATGTGTTTGGCGGGAGCTTTGTCAACCAGATTGTGTCGCAAGAGTGCGAGCACATTTCGGAGCGGCCGGAGGAGTATCTGACGATTTCGGTCAAGGTGCAGAACAAGCGGAACCTGCAGGAGGGCCTCGAGTTCTTTGTGCAGGGCGACATGCTTGATGGACAGAACAAGTACCACTGTGAAAAGTGCGATACCAAGGTGGCGGCGCTCAAGCGGTGCGTTATCCAGCACCTGCCTAACACGCTTGCGTTGCACCTCATCCGCTTTGAGTTTTCGTTTGAGACGTTTGAGAATGTCAAGGTCGACGACCGGTTCGAGTTCCCAGAGACGCTCAACATGAAGCCGTACACCAAGGAGGGACTCGCAGCAGCGGCGGTGGAGGCCAAGGCCAAGGCCAAGGCCGAGGCGCGGGCAGCTGGTCGCGGCGACGAGGACGAGGAGGACGAGGACGAGGAGGACGAGGACGAGGACGGCGGGGTTGGTGCGTCGGGCGCGAGTGGAACCGACGGCATCGAGCGGCCGGACGACTACTACGAGTACCGGCTGCAGGGAATCCTGGTTCACTCGGGCACGGCAGACATGGGCCACTACTACTCGTACATCCGCGACCGGGAGGGCGACGAGGGCTCGGCGCGGTGGTACGAGTTCAACGACCGGTCTGTGACGCCGTTTGACCCGAGCGAGATTGCCGAGCAGACATTTGGCGGGCCGTACGAGGGCATGGCATCAGACCACTCGAAGATGTACTCGGCGTACATGCTGTTCTACGAGCGGGTAGGACCCAAGTACGCACCGCGGACGTACGGCGGCGGGCTGCTGGAGCCGCCGACGGTGCTGGAGCAGGATCCGGAGATTTTGGACAAGATGTGGCGCGACAGCGTGGCTGCGGCACAGCGGCGGCACTTTATGAATGCCACCTGTCTGCAGTTTATGTGGTCGCTGGTGGCACAGGAGGCACCCAAGATTCCTGTTTCGACGAGCACGGAGGTGCTTGACGAGAGCTCATGGGCCGGCAAGCTGCTGACGTTTGGCACGCGGCTCTGCTTTGACCTTCTCGCGCACTGTGAAGACAAGCTTGGCATTGTGGACAAGATCCGCGAGCTCGGCGACATGTACGTCAAGCACCTGCCGGGCTGCGTGTGGCTGCTGCGGCGACTGGCGGATGCCGAAGCGAGCTGGCTCGGCGACGTGCTAGTGGTGTGTCCGGACCTGGACATCCGCGAGGCGATGGCGGAGCTTGTGGTGCGGGTGCTGGGCGCGGCCGTGGCGGGCGGGTGCGAGGCCGAGGCGGCACAGTACGCGGCGGCGGCGCTTGCAACGCTCAAGGCGTGCGCAACCGACCCGACGGTCAAAACGTCGCAGCTGGTCTCGACGGTGCTCGGGTACGCACAGGTGGGTGGAGTGCGGCAGCTGTGCGAGGCCGGGGCGCTGCGGGGCGCGATCGAGTTGTACGAGTCGAACCGGACGCCGCTCTTCCACCGTGCGCTGCGGCCCAAGCACCTCTCGCTCATCGAGCTCATTTCTGTGCTCGGGCGCGCGTACCGCAACCCGAACGGGCCGTCTGCTGCCGACAGCCAGGGCAGCTACATGGAGGGCCCGATTGACGACGAGGTGCTCCACCTGCTGTTCTCGAAGCGGTTCCTCACGTCTGTCCTCGCGCAGCAAGCCTACCGCGAGGCTGCACATGGGCTCATCCAGCACTGGGTGCCCGGCAACCGGCGTGTGGCAGACGCGGTGATGGATGCGGCGCTCACTGGGCTCGACTCGTTCATGGACAAGACGGTGCTGGGTAATTACACGGCGGCGATCGACGCGATGCGCGAGATCGACGACGGTGACGGCGCGTACCGTGAGGCTCGCTACGTCGAGGGCCTCATCAAGAGCATGAAGAAGGCGATGCGGGTGCCGCGGACGCGCAACAACCTCCTGGCCCTGCTTCTCGAGGCTGGGGCCAGCGACGACGCGACTCGGCAGCACATCGAGAGCCACGAGGTGATGGCGCGGCTGATGCAAACTGACCCTTCGCTGCGGTACTACGTGCAGACGCAGCTGGCAGCCAAGTTTACCGAAGTCTTCCCCGCCCTCGCGGTCTCGGCGGGTGTGCCGGGCGCCGCCAGCGCGGCGGCAGCTGCTGCCGGCGTCGCCTCGCCGCCGGTTGACGATGCTCCAGTGCCGTCAGGCCACCAGCCGGGCGGGCCGGGAGCGCCGGTGCCGTCGGGCCACCAGCCGGGCGGGCCTGCGCCTGTCACCGGCGACGACGAGTAAACCGACTTGATGGCTGGCAGAGCAAGTCACGAGACACAGCAGCAGCAACAGCTCGACGAGACCTTATCGGCGGCGGTGTAGACGTGGCGCTCGCCGGAGAGCGTGTGGAGCGATAGTGTGATGCGATCTGCCGGCGAGAGAGTGATGGCGCCGTAGTTGTTGTCGCGGACAGCCTTGTCATGGCGGTAGAAGCACCCAGTGTCAGCAGAGACGCTTATGGCGAGATTTTTGTGAAGCGCGGCGTGGAGAACAGCGTACAAGGGCTCCGGCATCTTCTCGTTGGTGATCGACGACGCCGTGAGCTGCGCCATGGTTTGGGAGTTGGCGCCCGAGCCGCATGGGCGGGTGAGGGTAGAGAAGACACCGACATGGACATCGCCAGCGACAACAGCAACGTCACGACCGTGCTGCGGCTCGGACGCATCACCGGATCCGTACTTCCAGTCGAGAAGCGCGTTGACCATGCGGAGCTGCTCGTCCGAGTGGCCGCCGTATGCCCAGTGATCTTTGAGATCACCAAGCGGCTCGACCTGGGCGGCGGCATCGGTTAGCTTCTTGTTGAGGTAAACAAGCGGGACCGAGGTGGCGACAATAAGGCGGGTAACGTCCTCCGCGCCGAGCCGACCGCCGGATGCAAGTGCGGCGTCAATGTCGGCCCACTGCGAAGCTGAGAGGTACGGCAGCTCGCCAGCGCCAGCGCCAGCGCCGCCAAGGGCTGGCTCAAACGAGCGCCCGCCGCGCTGGTCGACGAGGATGATGCCGACACCACCGATGCGGAGAATAGCGTGTTCGAGGTGGCCTGCAGCACCGGGGCTGTGAACGAGACTGCCCTGGTAGCTGCGGTAGACGTCGCGGGCAATGAGGCCGATCTCAAAGGCAAGCGACGACGGATCGCTGTCCTCCGGGAGTGAGCCCCAGTCGTCGCGGATCTCGTGATCATCCCAGATCATGATGTTGCCCGTGTTGGCGAGCACTCGTGCCGTCGCCTCGGACGCCCAGTTTGTGCGGTAGACGGCAGCGTAGAGGTCAGCCACAGCCGAGTGAAACTCTGGCGAACCACGGGTGTGGACGCCGGACGAGATGAGATCCTCTGCGGCGGCAAAGGCATCATCGCAGTAGACCTGATCCCCTATGTGAACGATCATGTGAAAGTGACTCGCTCGATCAGCAAGAGTAGTCCAGAGCGAGTCGACGGAACCATCGAGAACGGCCGGCGGCGGCTTGTTGCATGAGACAAAGCCAAGGCAGAGGTCAACCCCGCCTCTGCTGGAGTGCGAAAGCCAGCGCTCCTGACCTCGATGGACTCATCGTTGTCATCGATTACAGATAAGGCGTACTCGGTCTCTGGCAGCAGTCCATGGAGAGTAATGGTAAGCGGCGCATGAGCCGGAAACTGAGTCAGTGGCGAGAGAGTCTGAGATGAAGAGGACAAAGTCGACGACGGAGGGGGAGCAGCGGGTGTTGATGATGGTGATGATGATGATCGACCGAGTTGGCCAGCAGGGGCAGGTGCCAAGGCCGTGGCTACCACACGAGCCGGAGTGGCAGCAGGAAACTCAAAGAGAACCCGAGCAGAGGTCGGTGTCACAACTCCCACAATGGGTCCGAGCGTGGGTCGAGGCATATATATAGATGTATATATGGGGGGGGGGGGGTAGGCAGGAAGGTGTGTCTGGACCTCGTCCTCTCTGTGCGGGGGTGGCTGTTGGGCGTTTTTTTCCGCACCGCTGGTTTTTCTTTGCTCTTTGTTTTACGGTGTGGGCTGCTGGCCGGTGGTGGTCTCTTTGTTGCCTCTGGTGAAGGCCTGGGGCAATGCTGATCATGATAGCAAGCGTGTGAAGTCGCCTTTTGTTTGGTGTGTGTTTCCTCGCGACAACGTCCTGACTACGCACCTACATGGCATGGATGTCGTTCTCGAGGCCGAAAAAGTTGGAGATCTCCGAGACGGAGGTGACGACTTCGTGAGGGATGAGCGAGAGCATGAACATGGTTCTGCGGTTGTGGTGGTGGAGGACGCGGGTCATGGGCGCGAGGACCAGGAGGGCAAATGCGGCAAAGGCGACCATTTGCAGGGCGAGGGCGATGCCCGGGAGCGCGCGGTAGATCTCGCGGGTGTGGATGGCGGTGGCGTACGAGTTGGTGCTCATCTCGAGGCCGTCCAGCATTTCTTTGTGGTACAGCTCCTCGATGACAACAAGCTCATGGACGTGCGGGACGAGGCGATCGGGATGGGCAATGACCAGGTCGAGGCCGAGCTGGACGTAGTGCCGGATGAGGTTGGAGAGGCCGCGGCGGGTGGGGCCAAACAGCGGGTCGCTGGAGTCGCGGCAGGTGGCCGGCGGATAGCGGAGGCATGCGCCGATCTGCTCCAGATGGTCTTGCGCTGGCACCTTGAACGTGTCCTTCTTGTGCAGCAGGATGAACTTTTGAGTGGCACGCATGCGTTCGAGAGCGAGCGAGAGTAGCTCTCGCGGCTTTTCAAACTTGGACGATGGCACAATCTTCACAGAGTTGCCCAGGGCAAAGCTCTCAGAATGCAGCGCAGGAAAGTCCATGTAAACAAACGGAAGGATGGCCTCTTCAAAGTCATGGAGCAGCGGATACTCGGCGAGGACGTGCTCGATGGCCATGGCGCGGATGTCCTCGTTGAACGGGAGGCGGAGGCCACCGAGGGCCGTGATGGACGCGACGTTAGTGAGGAACTGGAGCTCAAGGAGCGAGATGAGCGAGAAGCAGAGGATGATACCAAGGCCGACCATGCCGACGAGGACCCACCGCTGGCGGACTTCGACAGAGTCAGTCTGCATCGACTTAAACAGCGCCTTGCGCGCCGCGGCCTGGGCATCGGCCTCGGACTTCTTTTTGGCCTTGCGCAGACCACACCAGCGTCGGCCCGAGCGCGTCGACATGCGGTGCTTTGCTGCCGAGGGCGTTGACTGCGTGGCCGACTCGACCGACTCGGAGTCGTGTGCTGGCGCCGGTCTCGACTTTGAGTTGCGCCGATCTGAGAGCGGCGCGCCGGTCTCGACCAGGCTGGAGGCGTGCGCCGACGGCGACTCCTCGACGAGAATCGGCGACTGTTGCGGCGAGACCATGTGGGTAAGCGTTGGACGCGAGTTGAAGCCGACTCGCTTCTCGACGTCCTCGGTAGCGACAGCGGTGCCGTTGCTCGACGACTTGGCCGAGCCGCCAAACTCGGCGCCACTGCTCACGCTGTCGGCATCACTGTTGTGACCACCCGACACGCCGTTGTGTGAAGTAACGGTGCTTCGCGCAGTGAGATCGGCCAGTGGAGTGCCATCGCCTCTGCTATCCTGCTCATCGCCTTCTTGCTGCTCGGTCTCCGAGCCATAGCTCGAGCTTGAGCCCGAGCTCGAGTCGGACTCGTGTGACGACGACATAGCCGACGAGGAGGATGACGACGACGCTTGCATGCCTGGGGTGCAAGGTCCGAGCCCGAGCTCAAGACGTCTTCAGCCGAGTCAACCGATTGGTTCGAGGCAGCAAAACGCGATTGTGAGACGTGCGAACTATTATCGTCCGAGGCGACAGAGAGTGGGCCCCGCGACGGGCGCGGCGGGCGTGCGGAGCCCGCCGGCTGGTTCGCCGGCCGTCGGGAGATCGGTTGATACGAGGCCGATCCCCGCAGTGCGTCGGCCGCGTGGAAACTCGACAGAAACGAGGCCGAGTGCGGTGTGTCAGGCACCGCCACTGTCGCTGCAGAGACAGCAGTAAACGAAGTCGACTCGGTCACTTCAGGCCTCGACATGGGGACCGGCGCAGTCTTTGTGAGGTCTGCGACAGTCATCTCGCGATCATCGGGGCCGCTAAAGTCAGCTGCGCGGGCCCGCGAGCGCGAGATCGGCGGCGTGGGCGGGCGGGCCTGCGAGCGCAACTGGGAGCGGGTCGACCGGCCGCCGTCTGCGTCGCGCGCCGAGAGCTGGATGCCGAGGTCGGAGCCGTCGCGCGACGACATGGAACCTTCCGAGTCGAACGAAGCGACCGAGTTGGTGCCAGCCCCGGCCCCATCACGCTTGTGCGTGCCGCGCATGAGCTTGGCAACGGCGGTCTTGGGAATGGCGAGAAAGACGGCGATAGTGGCGCGGCGGCGGTGCGAGGCAGCGCGGAAGGCAGGCATAACAATGAAAAAGACGGCAACAAGGTGCAGGCCGATCATGGCTGCCGAGAGCGAGCAGATGATGGCCAGCGCCTGGAGGAGCGTGGTGCGGACGGTCTCCTGCTCGAGGTTGAGGGCGTGTTCCAGCGCAACGCGGAGGCCATGGCCACCGTTGAAGAGGACAAAGAGCGCAAGGTCGGCGTCGGCAAAGACGGCATCGGAAAGGTTGGTGTCGACCCAGGCTTCGGTGGTGTTTGAGTGCAGCCCGTGGGTCTCGAGCACATGGGCCGAGTATGACCGTGCGGCAGTGCAAAAGACGGCGATGGCCTCTTCCAAGTTGTACGCCCGCGGAATGACTCGCATTTCCTCTTCCGGCATGTCCGGGTATGCGTGGAGATAGCCGTCGGAGAGCTCAAAGTGGTACATCACAATCTGGGGATCGCCCGAGTGGAGCTTGTCGAGCCTGCTGGCCGGATCATAGAGCCCGCTGGTGTCAAGCAAGATGTGGTGGTGCTCCAGGAGCTCGTCGACGGTGGCATGGACCTTCTCGACGAGGGCAATGGCGAACTCCGGGTTGTAGCCCAAGTTGTCCAGCGAGCCCGAGACCAGCTGGTTGACCTCGCGCAAGTACACGTCCGACTTGCGCCAGGCATCGGTGATGTTTCCGTGACAACCTCGACGCGGTCAAGCAAGTACAGACTCTGGATGTCTGAGACGACACGGACGGTCTTCTGGAGGCGGATGGTGGCTTCGCGGGCGCGCTCGGGGCGGAGCTCGGCGCGGATGAGCAGGACCTCGGACATGGCAAAGACGGCAATGCAAAGGACGACAACAAGGGCGATGATGCCAAACATTCGGCGCGAGAGGCGGGTAATGTCGTCCGAAGCGGAGCGGCGGAGGGCACGGAGCGAGGTCGAGACGTCCGAGTCGGCTTGCTGGGCCACTCGGCGACGGGCGGCGATGCGAGCACGTGCGGCAGAGACCATGCGCTGCTCGGGGACTGAGAGCATCGAGCCGGTCTCGTCGTCATCCTCGCCACCGCGACCGCCGCGATGACGCCGCGACCGCCCACCGTACATGCCCACCGAGGCGGTGGAGAGCGAGAAGAGCGAGCCTTCGGCAGTGGACTTGCGGCGGGAGCGGGCGGGCAACGAGCTAGGAGACGCACACGGCAGCTCAGTGTCGGTCACCTTTTCCAGCGGGAGAACCATCGACGAGTTGGTGTCGGCCGAGTCGCCACGCGAGCGCGAGACCGAGCGGCGGCGGATGACCGAGGCCGGGCGGTCGAGGGTCGACCTGGCGCGGCGGGATGGTGGCGCACCCGGTGATGAGCCGCGGACCGAGAACCCGTTCCGGCGGCGCGGTGACTCGCTGTTTTCCTGCGTGTGGAAGTGCAAGTCCGGCTCCGATGTAGCGAGCGTCGGCTCGGGGGCCGACATAATGACCGGCGGCGGCGGCGGGATGGGCGTGCTGATAGTCACTGCATTCGCCTGCGCAGTGAGCGGGAGGAACATGACGCGGAAGTTGCCACCGACACCCTCGGGCGCAGCGACGGCCGCCATATACACATGGGTGCCTGAGAGCGGATGCGGGCGCGAACGGACGATGCAGATGCCGCGTCCGGCCTCTGCGCCCGGCACCGATTCGACAAGGAGCGGGAGAGGGCTGGCCGAGTCGCCGGTGCGCGAGTTGGCGACGGCGGCGTGAAGGGCAGCAACTTCAGCCGGCTTGCGGAACCACGAGTTGGCGAGCGAGGTGGTGCGCGCAGGGCCGAGCTCCAATGAGGAGAGGATGGCATCGGCGCGGAGCGACGTGGCGCGAGAGATGGCGGATGGAAGCGCACTCGGCGAGACCTGGGGCGGGATATCGAGAGCGAGCGAGAGGTCCGAGCCGAGAAGCTCCAGCTCCGAGACGCCCCAAAGGGCGCGGGCGATGGCGTCCGAGACAGCGATAACCTTGCCGCCGTTGGAGACAAGGATGTCAATCGAGTACGAGGCGATGGGCTCGACGACGAGCATGCCGATCCAGGCAGCACCCGAGCCACCGAGCCACGAACCGGAGATGACGCAGGGGAGGCGCCTGCCGTTGCGGTGGCGGATGATGCGGACATGCGGGTCGAGCGAGCCAGAGGTGGCCGAGTCGGTGCCGAGCCACGAGGTGAGTGCAGCCATGCCGCGGGTGTCAGATGGGAAGAGGGTATGCATGGGCGACGAGACCAGCTGGCGCGGGTTCATCGAGAGCATGGGTTCGGGCCGGCCCGAGCAAGCGGTGACCGAGCCTGCCGGACTGACGTAAAGAGCGATGCGTTCGTCCGAGGCGGCGCGCGGGCGAATGACGGCGACGTACGCGGCTGACGACGCTGCGGCCTGCCCGGTGTGGCTTGACATGCGGACAATGGAGAAGGAGATGGGAAACGTCGAGCCGTCGGTGGCGAGCGCATCCAAGAGAAAGACTCGCGGGATGGACGAGGCCGAGGAGAGGATGACCTCATGCCACTCCGAGTACGGCTGGGCAAAGAGGGCACGGGCAAACGACTCGCCACGGATTTCCTTGTCAGCCGCGTGCGAGGTGTAGCCGTAGAGCTTGCGGGCCTGGGCGTTGAACGACGTGATCTGGCCCATCGAGCCGAGGGTGACGATGGCGTCGACAGCCGAGTTGACGACACCGACGCCACCGTCTTCACGGTGCTCAGCCTCGGTCTCGGTAGCGTGCGGGCCTACGCCACCGTCACCAGTGTCATCAGCGTTGATAGTGGCCACGTGCTTGGCACGGCGGAGGAAGCGGTCGGCGAGGACAGGCTTGTTAGAGACCTGGTCGAGAAAGGCGGCGTACGAGACAAGCAGGCCGGGGGCGGTAGGGTACTTGAGAATGAGCTCGCGGTAGCAGTCGTTGGCGGAGCGCTCGGCGGCATCGATGCGGGCGATGAGCTTTGCAGAGCGAGCGAGGAAGTTGCGGTCGGAGCGGAGGAGCGTCCGCCAAAAGTTTGAGAGCGCCGAGATGGCGGCCTTGTGATGGGCGCGGGCAGTCCGGAGCTTGGTTTCAAACTGGACGTAGGAGATTAAGTCCATGGCGCCGACGGTGAGGCCGTGGGCGAGCTGAGCCTGCTCGACCTCACGGAGCTTGCGGTAGCGGACAAAGCGCAGGTCGGCGCGGGCTGGCAGCGCGAGCGACTGGTCGAGGTACGCGTGCGCCATGGCCGTGTTGCCGACCGAGGCAAGGAAGCGGACGTAGCAAAGGAGAATGTAGACCGAGTCTGGAAACTGCTCAAAGCCAGCGCGGAAGACAGCGTTGGCGGCGTCGGGTGCACCGCGTTGGATGTGCGAGCGGGCGACGAGCTCGACATCGGTGACCAGCCAGAATCTAGGTGCCTGGAACCGCCGGCCACCGACCTCGTCGATGGTGTGCATCGTCTCGTCTTCGTTGTCGGCAACGGCGGCAACAGCGGGCGAGACGGCGCACGCGGCGTGGCGTTTGCGAAGAAGGGCGAGGCGGAGGTAGCCGACGGACGAGCCGAGCGCAAAGAAACTGGAGCGAGAGCAGCGGTGACGACAAATGCAATGTTGGCCGAGTCGTTGTTGTCGGTGGGAATGGTGACAAGCGCCATGCCCGAGATCCAGGCAAGGATGCAAAAGCCGCCGGTGCGGGCAACCTGGAGCTTGAGGTTGTAGATGGCCATGAACAAGACTTGGAGGACGAAAACACCAGAGTTGGCGATAAACATAACGATGCCCAGAATGAAGCGGAACTGCGGAACAGTGGCAAAGCCAAGAAGAAGGATCGACTTGACGAGATGGATGGCGCAGTCGATGCGGGCGTGTGAGCGAGCAAGCAGATGGCCCGACTGTGGTGAGTCCTGAAAGTAGACCAGTGAGAGGGCTGAGGTCGAGAGAATCATAGCAATGGCAAAAATGCCCGAGACCACCTTGTAGGCAATGACCTCGGGTTCCCAGCAGTCCACCATGTCGTAGTCAGAGAGGGTCTGGTCTGACATTGGCGCGGTGTAGTCGCAGGCGAGCGGGGTGAGGAGGACCGACATGATTGGAATGTAGAGGACGGTGACACCAAAGCCAACCGCGTATCGCAGCATCCGCAGCGGCCAGATACGTGACCGCGAGTGGTCTCGCAGGGCGAGGCCGACGTAGACAGCATCGATGTAAGAGAAGAGTAACGCGGCGTAGACACAGCCGTTGACGACGCGAAACGCGGTGAAGGAGGAAAAGACGACCCGCAGGGCGAGGAGGTTAAGCGTCGGGCGGATGGTGGCGTCGGCCCACGAGCCCCACTCAAAGGTGTCGTGGAAGGCAAAGGTCGCGATCTGTGCAAACTCGATGAGGAGGACCAGAATAGAGACGAGGCGCTTGGACGACGACCGCGAGACAATGGCAAAGAGAGCGTCAAAGCAAAAGGTCTCAATGCGGGCAAGCAGCGAGCTACGCGCCGCACTGTCCGAGTCAAGGCCCATTGCTACCAGTTCGTTGTCCATGTCTGATAGCAGCGAGTTCTGCGCCGACGATGCCGACGTCGAGCGCGTTACGCTCGTCGACCGAGTTCCAAACGACAGCATCGCGACCCTGTTACAAAACTGGATAGCCGCACGCGTCGCCACTACTGGAGAGTCCACGCGCGCGTGTGAGTGCGTGGATGAGGACTAGCACGTAAAGCGTGAGCTACTAGACGGATAGGAGTTGAAGGGCGCGAGTTGAGAGGAAACGGGGTCGAGCGAGGGTGAGCGAGGGGTGTGTGGGCGAGGATGTGTGAGGTGCCGGTGTGAGTGTGAGTAAGAGAGTGCGGAGGAGCAACGAGCCTATTTGTATGCAGGGGCTTGCAGATTGGACCTCGTGAATGGTGTCAGCTGAGACAAAAACTGGTGAGAGGATATTGGCGGCAAGAGCGGTAGCAGTGCAGCGAAGGCTGATCGAGCTTGAATTGAGGAATTTTGGAGCTGCGGTTTTGGATACTGTAGCCATGGGTGATATGTGTGTATGTAGTATGCTAGTCATGAAATCTGATTGGGTGTAGCTTGTCATGAGGGTGATGGTGGTGGTGGTGGTGGTGGGGGAGGGGGGGGGGGGGGCGTCGGGTGGCCGTGGAAACTTATGACACCGAAGACGCCACCGGGGTGACAGCCGTAGGGGTGTGTGGGAGGTGAATGGCACAGAAGATGTAGTGTAAGGGGTGGGGTGGGGGGAATAGGCAGGTATGATTGAGAGTGCCAATACGTACCCGGTGGTAGTGGTGGTAGTGGTGGTGGTGGTGAGGAGGAGGTGGTGGTGGAGGGAGAGGTGGTAGGCGACTTTGCTTGGCCACGGTCCAGTGTGGGAACAAACCGCCATGCGGTTCAGCAGCGATAGTGCACGCGCCGGAAGACGGATGGTTGACCAGACGACCGGAGATGTGACGGTTGGAGGAGTTCATGGCAAGGTCTTGAGGTGAGAACAGCCAATATAGTTTACAGAATACGGCGAGTGTACGCAAGGACACGTGCCATCACATACTGAGGTCACTTGGCTTGTAGCCATGTTGTAGGTGTGCGTATGGGTGTGGGTGTGACTGTTGGTCGGTGTGAACGTTCGAGGTGCGGGACAGCGGTCGGTGGTCGGTGGTCGCCGGTCATCGGTCAGCGGTCGCTTGTCGGCGGTCGGCGGTCGGTGGTCGGCGGTCAGTGGGCGGCGGGCGGCAGACGGCGGGGACTGATCCAGGCCCGAGCCGGAGGTGGCACTTGTCTTGCGGCAGACACTGGTGTGGTGTGTGCGCGAGAGCTTGTGTGTATTGTGTTGTGTGGGGGAGGAGATTGATCGAGCACGATATATATATATATACCTAGTGAGAGCGCTCAATATCAAGCATGTCTGAGGGGTTTCTGTCACGACTTGCGCATACGCATGCCTTGCCAGCTGAGGATGCGGTGCATGTGCTGCAACAGGAGCTGCATGACGTGGCCCATGCGTCGGAGGGAGGAGCCGGTGCCGCCATGCATGCGGCGTATGTGGCGGCTATGGTAGCAACAGCAAGGGCTGTGGCTACTGGGGGTATGACCGAGGTGGTGAGCGGGCTCTCGGTTCTCTACACCGACGTGGTCGACCCGTACGCCGCCCGGCTGGCCGCCATGGAGTCCGAGGCTGCCGACGAGCTCCGACTCGCCTTTGCCCACGCCATGCTCGATGTGGTGAGCACGAGCTTGCGGCCGCTGGCAGACGCCAAACCTGGGCTAGCGCCGGATCTGCTGCGGCGGAGCAAGGCGATGCTGGAGCGTGCGCTCATGGTCACCATCTCGCTGGTCGACGAGCGGCCGGCCATGCGCGGCAGCGCGTCGCTACTGCTGCACGCCATTGGCGGCCTTGTGCACGCGCTTCTGGAGCATGCGCCCGAGGCGGCGCGACTGTCGATTCGGTATGCCACGGGCCACAGGCCGGCAATGGGCTACGCGACGTCGGCGCTCGCGCTTGACGACACGCACGCAGCGCGTGCGGCGGTGACACGGGCGTTGGCTACCTACGCACGGGCGGCGCTCATTGGCTCGACCGACGCGCTCATCTCGATTGTGGCGAGCGACCTCGCTCCGACGCTGCGCAATACTCCGGCAGCGCAGCAGGACGCGGCGAACCACTGGTTTCACCGCGCCCGAGTGCTCTACGGGGTCGGCCTCCACGAGCATGCCAAGACCGTGGCACACCACGTGGCGCAGTTTCTTGCCCGCCCCGGCCTGGCGGTTCCGGGCGGGTACGAGATGCGAGGCAAGGCCAAGGCGCTTTTCCATGCCGCCGTCGGCGTAGGCTCAGGCGGATCTGGGCATGGTGCATGCAGCGGGTCTGGCGAGCTTATTGAGGACGCCTCTGACTACCCGCATCTCTTTTTGCGGCTCCGCTATGCGGTGGGATGGGTGCGACACCTCATCTCTGGCCTCCTGCTCCTGCTTCCGCCATTGGAGGGCGTGCCGATGATGCTGGCAGACGATGCCGGGGTCGTCTACCCGCTGCCCGAAGAGCCGCCGCGCGGTCCGACTGACGCCTGTCCGATCCCGTCAGCGCTGTACAGCGCGTTTGTCAGTCACCTGCACGCCCACAAGCTGCTGCCGGACTCGCTCGGGCGAGTCAGGCAGGTGGTGAACTACCCGACCATGGGCACGGCGACGAGCGAGGCGAGCTCAAGCACCGCCAGCGACCGCAGCGGCACCAGCGGCAACGACGACTCGGTGGTGCTGGTGAGCAAGGCGCTGTCGCCGGCAGAGCTTGCAGCGGCGGTGTTTGCAGCGCCCGAGACGCGCGCAACACTCGAGCTCGCATGTGCGGATCCGCTCTTCCCAGGCTTTACCACACTCCTGCACTTGCAGCACGCACTGATGCGTGCTCTGCTGGCACACATGTGGGGGCTGACGGACTTGGTCTCATCGACACCTACAGGCGGAGCGAGCCGCGGGAACAGCAACGCCAAGACCGAGTACGCGTTTGTGGCGCTCGGCTCGTTTTCACGGATGGAAGCGTGCCCGTTCTCGGACCTCGACGCGATCCTGCTTGTGGACCCGAACGCACCGCCGTCTTTCCGCGATGGGCTGGGCGCGCGTGCGAGGTTCTTTGAGCTCCTCGTCATGTCACTCGGCGAGACGCAGTTCCATGTTGTCAAGGACTGGCACCACCGCGACGTGTCGATCATCGAGTCCGGGTTTGACCTCGACGAGGCGCACCTCTCGCCGGTGCGGACCATTGTGACGCCTGACGAGCTCATCACGCTCCACGTCAACGCGGCGACCGAGCTGCTCAAGTACGAGTACGATAACGTCGACCCGTTTACGCACGCAGCGCGCGAGCCGTCGCTTGTCTTTGGATCGGCACGGGTGTTTGCCAGCTACCAGGCACAGCTGAAGCAGCTGTTCACGTCGGCGGCGGCCGACTTTTCGCCCGACGTCGAGGCTGCAGCTGACGGGGTCTCACTCGGTGCTCTTTACGCCCTTACTACTCTAGACAAGAACACCGGTCCGGGATCGGCGTTTGCGCCGGTGCATCTCACAACGCGAAGCCGGGACGAGCTCTCGATCAAAACCCACGCCATTCGGTTTGTGACCATGACCGTCGGTGCGCTCGCGCTCTACCTTGACGGCATGGGCATCGAGGTACCGGAGACGGTGCTTCGGCTCCAACGACTGGCGCAGGCGCGTTTGATTCCGCCACGACTCGCCATCGAGCTCATCCGACTCCACGAGTGGCTGTTCCGGACACGGTTTGCGCTCCACCTCAGTGCCAGGCGCGAGAACGACGTGGTGAGCCGAGCGGCGCACGGGCCGACGGTGGCGGTGCTGGAAAAAGCCGCCTCACGCATTCTCAGCCCACTGTACGAGGCTGTACGCGCATTTGTGGCCAGCCGCGAGCCGCGGAACACCATTTCGTCGCTGGTTTACCTACGCGCCGCCGAGTTTTCGGCCCGGCTGGACGCGGTCTCGGACGTCATTGTGTCGGACGTGTTTGGCGAGGCCGAGGACGGGTCGTTTGATCGGCTCGAGCTGCTGCGATCGGTCGACGAGCTGGCGTTCATGGGAGTGCGACGTGGGGCGGCGATCCGCCGGCTCCATGCCGACGTAGGCGCGCTGCTCTTCCCAGGCAGCGACGGCGAGAGCCCTGACAGAGGAGCACCCAACGACGACAGCGAGGTGCCTGGGGTGGAGAGTTTTGGGCGAGCGCATGTAGTGTACGCGCGCGGCGTGCATTTCAAGCTCTACCCACTGCTGCCAGGCCATGAGATCTCGGTCTCGCTGCTTGCGCAGTCGCTTTTCTCCGAGTACACGCTCACGCCGCTGGTGGACGTGGCGGTTGTCCGGCACGGAGGACGAGAGCATCTATTGCTGATGGGCGAGACCATCTCGCGGTTCAACATGCTCATGGCGCTGCAGACGTCACCGTCGGGCCAGCTGGTGACGGGCAACTCGGGCCTCCTCGAGGTGCTCCGCGGCACGATGGGCTTTGAGTTTGGCGTGCCGACGCTACCGGCGCCGTTTGCTCAGCTCGGGACAAGCAAGCGGCCACTGGAGCCGTCGACGAACCCGTCGATGGCGCGCGACGAGCGGATCTGCTTCCGGTCGGCCGACGGCGAGCTCGGCGTCAATGTTGCGCTTGACATGGAGCAGTACTCGGCAGCGGTCCTTCTCGCGCTGTGCGTTAATCCGGAGGACGGCAAGCCGGACAATCATGTGGTGATGCTGAGCGAGGAGCTGCCACGTCGGGCGACGCCGATGGTCACCGAGGTTGCGGATGGGAAGCGAGCGGTGGTGACATACCGGGCTCAGGTGGTGTCTGTCGACAACGAGTACGGGTTTGTGGAGGCGACCAAGGCATCATGCCCGCAGGTCAAGTCAATTTACTTTTGCATGTCTGCGCTCTCACTTCCGGTCCCTGTCCACCTGCGCAAGGTGGTGACGCGGTGGGATGCGCGACACGCGCTTGCGTCGTGGCTGCAGCACCTGCAGGCGGCCGAGTGCGAGTTCAAGCACCTGGGTGCTGCAATCGGCGACGATGAGCTCGGAGTGCGGTTTGTGGCCGGCATTGTGCATGTCCTCTTCCACAAGCTGGCTCGACTGCGGCGAGCGCTGCAGATTGCGCGGGTGACTCACCGCGAGCTGCTGTTTCAAATGGAGCGCGAGCTGGCGGAGCACTACCTGTCGGCGTTCAAGGACCCCAAGCTGGCGACGCCGATCGAGCGGATGCTCAAAATTGCGTCGTCCAACTACCAGCAGCGAACGGTGCTGACGAGCCTGCTGGCGACGGCGCGGCTGGTTGGGCTCTCGGTCCCGAGTGCGACGCCGGACCTTTCCGAGTTTGTCACGCTCACCTCTGCCGAGACGATCCGCAACTCTCAGGATCGGTTTGTGGCGAGTGGCGGGGCGGGCCCGTCGCAGACGACGTACGACTTTGCGGCTCTCGCTGCAGCGCGGCAGGATGTGCTGACTCATGGCAGCTCGTCGTCTGTGGCGACGCTTGTCGAGGCCGGGACGGCTGGTGAGCGTGTGGGGCCGGACGAGCTGCTCATCGAGCTTGAGCTCTTGCAAGAGGGCGAGAACGCACTGGAGGCACTCATCGAGCACGGCGACCTGCGCCCATTCCAGGCGCTACATCTACCGCAGTTCAAGGAGGCGGCGCTGAAGCGACTGCACCTCGACAAGCTGGGGGCGGAGCTGCAACGGTCGGTGCTCAAGGCGATCGACGGCACGCTCTTTGTCGAGCTGCACCTGCCGCGGTGCGGCGAGCTGAGCGACTCTGTGCTCAAGTCGATTGTGAGCAAGTGTCCGGCGCTGGTCGAGCTCAACGTGGCACACTGCTCGCGGATTGTGTCTGTGGGTAGCGTCGGCATCTATGCGCCGCTGCTGCAGGTGCTCGACGTTTCTCACACAAGCGTGACACTCAAGGCGCTGGACGGGATCGAGGCAAGCGCGCCACACCTTACGTGGCTGAACATAGAGGGCGTGGCGGCCATTGCCGACTCGCCGCGGCGTATTTTTCAGGCCTCACCAGGCTTGGTCTGGTCGCGGCTCCCACTGCGGCTGCAGTACGGGCTCGTCCTGCTTCACGAGTGCGCACCGAGTGCACAGGCGAGCGGGGCGGTCGCGTCGCTTGGCAGCATTCCGCTGTTTGAGTTTTCAGCGGCGGCGCGAAAGCGGCGCAAGAAGCACGACAAAAAGGTGGTGGCGGCGCTGAAAGAGCGATGGCGGTCGATGGCGGCGTCGGGCTCGCGGTCGCGGTCGGGTTCGCTGCTCTCGTCGTCGTCGGCCGGCTCCTCTTTCATGGCATCGTTCAAGGCCTCGCTCTCGGCATCGTCATGCTCGTCGATGTCGTCGCTCGAGCCAAGTGTCGAAGTGAGTGAGAGCCAGCAGGTCCAGTTTTCGGTGGACCTCGGGCATCCGCCGATGGCGACGGCGGGGCTGGGCCTGCTTGACCGCGAGACAGCGCTGGCGTCGTTTGTCATGCTTGTCGAGTTGGACCTGGTCAACACCGGGCTGCGGGTCCTCCACGCCTCGGTCCTCTGCGAGCTGCTCTGCGACGAGCGGATGCAACAGCTCCGCAAGCTCAACGTGTCGTGGAACGAGTTGGGAAACATAGGGACGTCGTTGCTGGCGCAGGTCTGGTCTAGCGCCGGGAGCCAGCGGAGCTTTGTTGGCTTGCAGGTCCTTGACATGCGGTTCAACGCCATCGACGATCACGGGTACGAAAACCTGGCGTCGATCCGCGAGCACGAGCCGCCGTCGTCGCCGCGGTACATCCTGTTTGACGAGCCGTACAGTCCGCGGCCGCGACTTCTCTCGCTCCATGCGTATGAGACAAGCGAGGCCGACTGGGAGCTGCTGGCGCGGGCGCGGAAGCAAAAGGTGTCGGCGATGGTGGTGCTTCGAACCGACGTGGTGGTTGTGGGCACACCATCGGGCGCAGTGTACGCATGGGACGTGCACTCTGGGAGCGAGCCGACCCTGGTAGCCAATCTCCACTCTGCCGTCCACGGGCTGCTCCAGCACCCGATGGACCGATCTCTTGTGGTGGCGACGGCGAGCGGGGCGTTCCAGCTCGACGTGTGGTCGGGCGTGGAGCTCAACCGAATGGAGCTTCTTAGCGGAGTGGAGGCGCGCGTGGTGGCGTCGATAGGGCTGTGTGCGACCGCGGTCGGGTGCAGCGACGGCGTGGTCCGGTTTTGGGACACTGGATCGAACGAGGTGCTGAGCGAGCTGGATACCAAGGGCGGGGCGGTGACGGCGCTTACGCTGCTCGGCGACGGCACGCTCGCCATTGGATTCGAGTCGGGCACCGTCGAGATTGTGGAGCTCGCCGGCGGGCGCTGCGTGCTGAGCCTGACCAAGGGCCACCGTGCGGCGGTGACGAGCGTCACAGACATGGGCGACGGGCACGTGGTGAGCACCGGCGCAGACGGGCGAATGTTGGCGTGGGATCTACGTCTTGTGGCACGGTCAACCACCCACCGGGTGGTGTTTGAGATGCGGCGGTCGGCGCCGGCAAGCGCTATTCGCGCAGCTATCCGCCTTCCAGACGGTGCGCTCTTTGCGGTTGCCACGCAGCACTCGCAGCAGTCGCTCCACCTTGTCGACATCGACGGCGGGCTCGTCGCTACGTTTGAGGGCGAGCTGACCCGGTCGGTGTCGGCCATCGGCATGCTCCCGACAGGCGAGCTAGTGACGGCTGCGCGCGGTGGGTGGATGTGTGTCTGGAGGGCGACGAGTGTGTAGACGGGTTGCTGGCGGGTTTCGAGAGCGTTTACCGGGCTGTGAGCCACCAACACTCGCGGCTGGGTGGCGATGCGAAGCGGCTGGTTCCTCACTCATGGAGTGCCCGCCATCATCGTCGCGCCTCGTCATCCAAGGGTGGGTGGCCTGGCTTCCCGCCCCGTCAAAGATCGGCGGGGGAGGGAGAGAGTAGTCTGCGCGGCGAGTCAGAGCGAGCCGACGACGACCGAGACGGCGTAGGCGAGCATGGCGACGATGACGACAATAACAGTGGCGGCGAGGGATTCGATTGTTGATGCGGCGGTGGCGGCGTCCATCATGGACACCATGCGGAGGACGACGAGGGTGGCGACGAGCGAGGCGGTCTCGAGCTGCATGGCTCGGCTATCGCTCAGCGGGTGCCAACGGAGGTGGGCTCCAAGGGCGAGCGCCACCACAGCCGCAAGCCCGCCGCCTACAAACACCGAGTCGTGGGGAACGACGGCCGAGATGGTGGCGATGGCCACGCGGCGGGCAAAAATGACGCCTTCGAACCACCACACCTGCGACCGGAAGGCCTCCCAGAGAAAAGCCAGCGGGTGATGATGGCTGTGGCCACCCGACCGATGCTCGCCTGTGCTGTCCAGCAGCGGCAGCGTGTGCTCGGCTTCGTCGTGGCCACCATCGCGCTCGACAGCGATAGCGGTGCGTGCGATGGTGATTGCGACGGTGACAAGGGCGGCAATCGCAAGGAGGACGGTGAGAGCCGAGGCGATCAGGGCAATGTGCTCGCGCGAGCCGCAGGCAACCCACGGCACCGAGTCGAGGTACGACGCGTGGACGCCCGGAGTCGGGTCGGGGACGCAGGAGAAGTAGGCCAGTGATCGCTGGATGAGAGGAAAGACGAAGAGGTAGCCAAGAGTGCCTGCAGCGAGGTCCGCACGACGGCGATTTCCGGCGTAGTCGGGGACGAGGCGAAGAACAAGGCAGACGACGACAGGGCCGGCGGTGAGGAGGACAAAGACCCAAAACTGGCCGAGCTGGTGGGCACCGATGCACCCGATGCCGGTAAGGGTGAGGCTCGCCCGCTCGAGCATGTTGCGGGTGGTGGCGAGCGAGGACGAGGCGCTGTCGGCAGCGGCTGTCGAGCCAAGGACGACCGAGAGGGTCTGAAGGAAGACGACCATGGTCTTGAGTGCTGCTTCTGCCTGCTCTGCCTTGTTTGGCTTGTCGATGATGGTGTAGAGGGTGAGGGCGATGAGGGCGCAGGCGATGGCCACCACCTCCCAGGCCTCGGCGAGGCCAAAGACCGCCAGCAGGACGCAGATACCGGCCTCGAGTGCTAGCGACGCCACCACGGTCTTGACTTTGCCCGTCTGCGCCTTCAGCCGCACCCACAGTGTGCTGCTATTGGCTAGTGCGATCTGGATGGAGCCGTGGCGCGAGCGACGGCTGCTGCCGCGCGGCGTGAGGATGTAGGCGGCGAGGAGGATGACGACGATGACGCCGAGGGCCGCGAGAACGACGATGGTACCGGTGGCAGTGAGCTTGCAGCGGATACACTTTCCGAGCCCAGCGCCCGGGGCGAACCAGCCTGGGGCGCATCGGGCGCAGAGGCGGTCCTCAGTGCCGTCGATACAGGCCCCGTCGCCAATACAGGCCTCAGGCTCGGGGCAGTGGAGAAAGAAGCCCGGGTTCCCAGTGGGAGTGTAACCCTCGCGAGCACGCGGGCGTGCGATGCCGCCGTGGCACTCGCCGCCGGGTGGGCAGACGACACAGGCAGCGACCGGAACGGCGGGCGACCAGAACTCGGGCTCGCATCCACAGCCAAGGGAGCCATCGGCGGCGAGCGGCATGAGCTCGGCGTTGGCGGCGCAGAGGCAGACGAGTCCACCTGAAGGCTGGCGGACCGGCGGACGGCCGCCCGGGCACGAGGCGAGGCGGATGACGATGGGCGTCGATTCGATGTAGCTCTTCGCTTGCGAGACCTTGAGCACGGCGGTGACGACCACGTCAGTGTCGAGAACGGTGTGATCTGTGGCGGCGAGGGCGAGCGAGGCGAGCGAAGTGACGTTGGCGGTGGTGGAGACGGCCACGTCAGGCGAACCGCCGTAGGTGGTCACGCTACTCGGGAGCACGAGCGAGATAAGCAGCGCGTTGTCGGTGATGACATTACCTACGGCGTCGTAGATGGCCAGCGCAAAGCGCGGCGCGAGCGGGATGCCCGAGACGACGGTGGAGCCGTTGAGGGCAGCTATGCCGGCGGCCCACTCGAGGCGAATCGGCGACGATGCGAGGCTACCGCCCCAGGTGAGCGAGGTGGAGGTAGCGCCGAGAGCAGCAAGAGTAGAGGGCGGAGCGATGACAAAGTCTGCGAGTGTGATGGTAGCTGACGCATTGTGCGGCGGGCAGGCCATGGCGACCGAGCCTGCCGACGACGCCGAGTTGCCTGAGCCCGCGACTGGTCCTGTGACGGAGAATGAGGCGCCGCAGGCAAAGACCAGGCTGCCGTAGACAGCACGATTGGCTATCAAGACGGCGCCGTCGAGGACCAACTCGGTGGCGCGGATGTCGCGGAAGTGCGGGAGGGCGATGGGAAGGAAGTTGCTCTGGTAGCCGACGCCGTCGAGTACTGTCCGGGAAGCAACACCGAGCACGCCACCGAGAATGGCGAAGTTGCCGACATAGGTGTTGTCGGTGGCGACGAGGCGGGCGCCCGGAACCAAAGCAAAGACGCCGCCCCAGATGGATGCGGCAGTGGCTTCGACTACCGTGCCCGAGACGGAGATGTTGACGCCGTGGCCATCGGCGGCGATGAAGCCACCAGCGACCGACGCTAGCGAGTTCTTCACCCGCGATGCAGTGATGGACACCTTCGCGTGGCTACCCACCGCAAAAGTGGCGCCGTTGGGGGCCTGGTTGTTGGAGAGGTACGAGTTGGAGACAATGACTGACGACGGACTTGTCGCCGAGCTGGAGACGGCGTAAACGACGCCGCCCGAGGCCGAGGCCGAGCAGTAGGATATCGACGAGTTGCGGATGACTACGGTCCCGCCGTCGAGCACCAGTGCCATGCCGCCGTAGCCCACTCCGAGCGAGCGGATAGAAGAAGTGAGGGTGCCGCTGTTGAAGAAGGCATCGACAGTTGTGTTGTGGAGCTCGAGCCTGGCGTCGATACCGGCGATTCGCAGCGGGGCCGCGCCGTTGATAGCGGCGATGGACGAGGCCCCGCTGAGCGCGAGCGAGGTCAACGTGAGGTCGATGCCCTGCGCGACGTCAAAAACAACGCCGCCAGCGGAGGAGCAGGCGATGCCTGCAGACGGCGCGTCGCCAAGGAGAACACCCGAGCGCGAGGGCGCGAGATGTCGCGAGGTTGGACAGCCGGTGAATGAGGAGGTGACGACGGCAGTGGTGACAGCGCAGCGGGAGAAGCGAGACATGGCGAGGGCGAGGCAGGCAAAGGAGGCCGGCGAGGCACATGCGGCGGTGTTTGGCGGGACGGCGACAAAGGTGTCCGGGAACGGATCGTCCAGCCAGGGCGACGGCAGGTGGAGAAAGAGGTCAAACGACGGCCCATCTTGAGCGAAGCCGACCAAGAGCAGATCGAGCCATCCGTTGCCGTCAAAGTCGCTGAGGGCAAGGCTGATGGTGTTGGGGAGGATGAGATGTGTGGCAGCGGAGACGACAAAGGAAGCCGCAAAGGTAGCGTTGGCTCCATGCGACGGCCAGACGACAACAATGTCTTTGCAGAGGGCGATGATGTCGTTGCCGAGCCAGTTCCGTGGGTCGACGAGGAGCATGTCGACGACGGCGCAGTCAAGGCCGGTGTGCGCGAGCGAGGGCGGAAGGGTGAGGATGCGCTGCAGCGGAGAGGATCGCGCTTGCGAGGAGAGGAGGACACGGACGCGAAAGTCCCCGCCTGGCGCAAGTGCTTGCTCCAGAATGGCAATGTCGTCGAGCGGGTCAGAGCCGGGCATGGGCGGGTCGAGCGGACCGGCGGCGAGTCCGATGACGGAGCCTGTGGCTGGCGCGAGCGAGGATGACGACCAGGTGAGGCCTGGCGTGCCCGGGTTGGAGACGAGGACGATAGCATTAGAGATTGGGTCGGCGACGACGACGTCTGCGGTGCCAGGGCGGGAGCCTGCAATACGCGCGACGACAATGGCGGAGACAGCGATGGGACTGAGATCGACGCCAAGGTCGACAGGGGTGACGACTAGGCGCGATGGATCCATGACCGGCGCGGCAACTCGCAGCAGTGCAAGCGAGTAGAGTGGAAAGGTGTGGGCGAGTAAGAGGGTCTCGATGGGAGCATTATAGAAGAGGCGGCCAGGAATAGCGGTGGCGTCGAGGAGGGTGTCGAGCTGTTTGATGGCGACAGGGGCGGCGAAGACGCCGTGGCCGAGGTTGGCAGCGTACAGAAGAGCACCGGGTCTGGTATCGATGGCGCTGATGGCGACGAGGAGGTCGACAACCGCGTCACCGGTAAGATCAACAAGGGCGATGGCGGCGTCGCTGATGGAAGAGATGGCATCCTGGACAAGTGAAGGACCTGTAATGCAGCGGAAGGGCGCATCTTGAGACAAGTCATGGAGCGTGTTGATGCAGGTAAAGATGCCAAAGCCAAATGTGAGACCGACAAGGTCGGGCTCAGTGTCGGCGTCGACAAGACCGACGACGACGGCTGAAGTGGAGGTGGGGATCTTGGCCGCAGCGAGATCGGATGGGAGGAGGAGAGGGATGGGTGAGAGGAGCGGCGGCGGAACAACAGCGTGGAGGTGAAGCACGTAGCCAATGTGCTGAGCGACGATACACTGGACGGCGAGGAGCGACGGGACGGCGGACGTAGTGGTGAGCGAAGCGGGGAGAACGGCAAAGGCCGGCGGCGACATCATCGTCGCATCGGATTGGTGGATGACAACGAGGGAGGAGAGAGTGCGGATGCGTGGGCGGGTTTCGGGAGCGGAGATGACGTCAAACGTGAAGACAACCGGGGCGGCAGAGTCTGTAAAGACGCCGGCGACAGTGGCAAAGGCAAAGGTAGTGGTGTACGGACGCGGGGAGCGCCAGGGTGCGAGGGCGATGGGTGCGGAGAACGAGCCAAAGTTGTTGTTGTTGATCGAGGCGACGATGACTGGAACGAGCGAGGCGGGCAGGGGGGACATGAGAATGGCAGCGAGGAAGCCCGTCGACGGATCGGAGCTCGCGATGCCGCCGACGACCAGATCAAGGGCTCCGTCACTATCGAGATCGGCAACAGTGAGCGAGGTGATGGTTGCAGCCGAGAAGGCAGCCGGCCAGGAAATTGGGAGCATCGGCGGAGGATGCGCCAGTGGAAGAGCAACAATGGTGAGCGTGTTTCCAAGGCCGACGGCGACAGAGGCCGGGCCCATCGCAGCGACGATGGTGCCGGAGAAGAGCGAAGACTCTGCAGTGTCAGGCAGGACGGTGAAGGAGAGTGAAGGAGGGGCAGGAAGCGGCGAGGCCAAGTGGAGCGCAACCAAGTGGATACCAACGGGGTCGGTGACAGAGTGGCGGAAGACCAGATAGAGACCATCGGCGTTGTCAGCGACGACGGCGGCGGCCCAGTGGTAGTACTGCGGATCACACGAGACGAGGACGTCGTTTGCGGCATGGCTCCCGAGGAGCAGGGTGGGAGGCGTATCAAAAACAAGCGGATCGGGCGAGCCAGGATAGAGCCACAACGAGCCATTGGTTGGTACGGCGGTGGTAGCCATGGCGATGACGATGTCGAGGTAGTCATCGTCGTCGACGTGGGCGAGGAGAAGCGGGCCGAAGAGCATGTTGGTTGTGTCCGGCGAGGTAATGACTATGTGAGATGACGGTGTGGATGATGATGATGACGATGATGACGATGAGAGAGAATGTGCGGTGACGTATGACACGTATGGACAGTATGCGATGGGTGCATGTGGTGAAGGCACGCAAGTGGAGAGCGCCGTAAAGGTGGCGGTGGGAAGGGCAAGGGAAAGCGGCGTGGCAGGTGTGGTGGTGTTAGCTGGTGAAGTGGAGCATGGCGGGAGGGGCGTGGAGGTGGCGGATGCGATGGCGTGAGTGAGGGTGAGGATGAGGATGAGGGCGAGGAGAGGGGGCATGATGGGAGTGGGGTGTGGTCTGGCTTGTGCGGGTGGTGGGCGTGGCCGTGGGCAGTGGGGGGGGGGGGGGGGGGGGGAGGGGGGTGGTGGTGGTAAAATTTGTTGGGACGTGGAGGCTATGGAGACAGTTTATCGCACGGCGCCGTCCAAGATCAAGGACCAAATTGCAAAGAAGAGAAGGAGAAGCTTATCGCGGTGCTGCAGCAGCGGATGCGGCGGGTGATGGGCGATGTGGGCCATGACGAGACAGCGCTGGCGGAGATGTCGGCGCGCCATGCGTCGCAGACAGAAGCCATGCGGTCTGTGCTGTTTGACGACGGTCTGCCGCTGCGGCACATGCGGAGCGTCGATGAGACGCGGCACGTCAGTGTACCGGCCACCGACGATCTCGCGCTGCTGAACGCGTTGATCGAGTCATCGGCCGTCTTTGCCACACCAGGTGCTGGATAGACGGCTGGCGGCCGGCACGAGAGTGGGCGCGACGCGCTCGACGTCTGGGTCGACTCTAACATGGGCGCAGCTGGCGTACTGGACACTGTTGACCACAGCGGTCACGAGTTGCGGCGAAGCAGGCGGTGGTGGCGGTCGAGTCGGCACCGTTCGTCGCGGAGAAAGTCGCGAAGCAGTGGAGGGAGTCGGACGCGGCGGCGGCGGCGATCGCGGGATTGACGCACATGCGGCGATGAAAGGGTCGGGCGGCAATAATGGTGGCTTGGGGTGGATCGGCCTCGACTGCAAGGTTGGGACAGCAGATCTGGAGGCGAGCACCTTCCGCGTGGCCATGCCTGGAGGCAGCACTCTGTTGCGAGCGAGGGTGCGGTCGGCATGTGCAACGCCTTCCACGGCCATCGCGTCGAACAAGAGCGACACACCGTTCAAGCGGCTGGCATTTATCGGTGACACGGTGCTCACCCTTATGGGTCGGATGCAGCTGTTCTCACTCGAGGACAGCGCCATGGATGTGGGTCCGATGGCGAGCGCCATGCAGGACATGGAGTCACGGGAAGCGTGTCAACAGTATCTCAAGGCCACTGGCATGGATGAAGTTGTGCTTTCGGACTCTTACGATATACAAGCCGAGGCCATCTTGTGTGCCATCTACCTGCTGTATGGCCTCGACGACACCGAGCGCATCTGGCGTATGTTCGTGTCGGCAGTGGCCTCGGTAGACGATGCGGCGCCGAGCGGCTCAAGCACTTCAGCGCCGAGATGTGGCAAGCAGGAGAGGCAGCAGACCGTGTCGACTCGTGCGATGGAATCCGTGGCGGCCTGGCAGGGAGCCGAGCTCGGAGTTCCAGACTCTGATGTCAGCCGGCACCATCGGAGAGGTGATCAACTGCTGCACCCAGCCTTACCCCCCCGACTCGATCGACCGCTCCCGTTCTTGACAGCCCCAACTGCGACCCCCCTCCGACCCGATCTACAGCCGACCAAGTCGCACGGGGCGGTTGGGCTCGGTGCAGTGGCTACGCGCTTGCGAGTCAGCGCGGTGACCAAATCGAGGCGATCTGGGCCGAGCAGCTGCCGCCAAGGCGAGCCTCGACGAGGACGTAGCGATCGGCAGACGCGGACGAGGGCGGGCGCGAGCGCCGCGGGCGCAGCTGATGAGGTTGTCGCGGGCGATGTGGCGGCTGATGACGACTTTGGTGAGTGAAGCTGATGGCGACAACGTCAGAGTTGGTCTTCTGCGAGGCACGGCGGACGGATGGACACGATTGTCGGCAAGGGGGAGAGCGACGATGCTGGCGTGATCGTGCGGTACCGACACTCCTGCTGCGATGCCGTCGCAGCTCGGTGACTGCGCCTGCCTTTTTGATTGTTAGTATTGTTAGAGCCTTCATCCAACGGTTAGCGGTAGAGAGTGGTGTGAAAGGGTGGTGCTGTCTGCGTCATGAAACATGGGATCGGGCTGATGGCCATGGTCCTCCGTGCGGCTGTGTCTGTGGGGGCTTGTGTTCAGAGTAGCTAGGGCGAGGGAGGGTGAGGGAGCGGTCAGCCAGTCGTATGGAAGTTGAGATGGCGATGGAATGCAGGCATCAGCTTTGTTGAGTCCACAGTGGGGGTTCATGGCAGCCAGGTCGCCGACGAGGGATCTGCGGTCGTCCGACTTGGGGGAGGTGAGGCCCATGGGATCGGGGTCGTTTGTGGTTGGCATTTTGGCGTCGGCCTTGGGGGCGTCGGATGGGTGGCTGAGAAGGCGATGGGAGGCCGACGCGAGGGTGAGGTGGTAGATCGGGCTGGAGAGGATGTCCAGCATACGTGTGTGTGAGTGGGCTGTGTGCTCGTTTGCTGGGAGCTGGCGCGGCATGCGCGGCTTGGGTGTGGCGATGGGAGAGGGGATGGCTGGGGTCGGACTGAGGCATGGATGTGGTCAGAGCGTGCGCGATCTGGCGACGACGAGTCTATGGAGGGGTGATGGCATGTGCTCGCTGTCGTCGAGCAACCGGATGTCCCATTCGTCTGGGCGGAGCGGGGCAGGGCGTTGTTGCTTCCGCTGTTAGCTTGATGGCGA